CCAATCAGGTAATTATTTTAAATCTATGTCACCGCAGACACCAGCCCTGTGTGCACAGGTCAGCGTTGAGCTCAGAGCCAGTAGAGAAAGTCGGGCCAAGTGTAGTGTGTACAGCCACACTGTTGGGGGGTAAGTAGGAGACCTCCAAGTGGTCAGACCAGCTTGCCAGCCACCTATGCCTTCAGCATCCACCACGAGGGATATCAAATCCAGTACAGAGTTTCCCAGACAGCAATCACAAATAATACGACCAGGAACGTGTTCTGATTCAACCTCTAGCCATGCACAGTCGAAGATAATAGATCCACAAAAACTAATTTATAAAATGTCAATTCGAACCGGCGGCAATCTCAAATGACAAGTAAATGAACTTAACTTTTTGATTTGACCTTTCGAAAAGGCAAAGGTTCATATGACATGCAGCCTAGTCTTTAGAAAAACAACAATTTCGACAAAGTGATGAAATCACACGTTACACTTAGATGCCATCATCATTGTCGGCCGTGTTCGAGGACCATTTGCGAAACTTGGAGCGAGTTTTCGCCAAAATAGAGGGAGCTAAATTAAAGTTGAACCCAAAAAAGTGTCGTTTATTTAGGAGCAAGGTCAACTATCTCGGCCATGTTATCTCCAGTGATGGAATCCAGACAGACTCGGAGAAACTGGAAGCAGTTCAAAAATGGCCTACCCCTAAGGACAGGTGCGGGCATTCCTCGGCCTATGCTCATACTACAGGCGTTTTGTAAAGGGATTCTCAGAGATAGCCAAGCCATCGGCTGACAGAAGATAAACGACAATTTAGTTGGGATGAGACTTGTGAAGATTCTTTTCAGAAACTGAAGAAACATCTGTGTGAAACACCAATCCTGGGGTATCCACAAACTGAAGGTCAGTTTATAGTCGACACGGATGCAAGCAACACGGCCATTGGAGGGGTGTTATATCAAAAACAGGGTGAAAGAGAAGTTGTTATTGCATATTTCAGCAAATCTTTATCCAAGCCAGAGAGAAACTACTGTGTGACAAGAAGAGAACTCTTGGCTGTTGTAAAGACACTACAACATTTCAACAAATATCTCATCGGCAGACAGTTTTTACTGCGAACTGATCACGCAGCCTTGAAGTGGCTACTGCAATTCAAGAACCCAGAAGGCCAAGTAGCTCGATGGATTGAACAGCTCCAAGAGTATGACTCAAGACGGAACACCGCAGTGGAAAGACGCATGGGAATGCCGACGCACTCTCACGAAGGCCGTGTTCGGAAGACTGCAAACATTGTGTTAAACAGGAATCTAATGAAGTAACATTAAAGCTAACGAGGACAAGTCCTTTGGGTCTCTGGGAGAATAATGCTATGAGGGAGGCTCAAGAAAGTGACGACGACCTTCGGCACATCATCACATGGAAGAAGCAGGGCGATGTAAAACCAAACTGGAGTGAGGTTGCACCCACTGGCGCTGTCACTAAGGCGTACTGGGCGCAATGGGACAGTCTGATACTTCAAAACGGAATACTCTACCGGAAATGGGAGAAGACTAACGGCAGAGAGTTCCATCTTCAGATAATTGTCCCGAGAACGAGAGTACCAGATGTTCTCCGTGAAATACATGATGGCGTATCAGGAGGTCATCTAGGTGTCAAGAGGACGTTAACAAAAGTGCGAGAACGATTCTACTGGTTGCACTGTCGAGATGATGTACAGGATTGGTGCCGCAAATGTACTACTTGCGCTGCTGTAAAAGGACCACAGACCAGAAGCCGTGGGAACCTGCGGTTGTATAACGTCGGTGCACCGTGGGAACGAATTACAGTTGACGTAGCTGGGCCATTTCCTGTAACGGAATCGGGAAACAAGTATTTTATGGTCGTCATGGACTACTTCACCAAATGGCCCGAAGTGTTCGCCATACCAAACCAAGAAGCTACAACAGTCGCTCCTAAGTTAGTCAAAGAAGTGATATGTCGCTTTGGTGTGCCTCTAGAAATCCATTCCGATCAGGGCAGGAACTTCCAATCGCAAGTATTCCAGGAAGTGTGTAGAATTTTGGGCATGCATAAGACGAGGACCACCGCGTGCCACCCACAGTCTGATGGAATGGTTGAGAGATTAAACCAGACCCTTGAGAGGCATCTGGCGAAATTGGTAGACGACAAACAAAAGGTTTGGGACAAGTATATACCACTCTTCCTTCTGTCGTACCGAACCGCCGAGCATGAGAGCATAAAAGCTACCCCGGCGTATGTCAATTACGGTAGAGAACTACGATTACCAGTAGACCTATTGACAGGAGGGTCACCGGAGGGACCAGAGACCGTACAAGACTATGTCTGCAATTTAAGGAAAAAAAATGCGCTATATACACGCCTTGGTTCGGGAAAATGGGTTACAGTCAAGTGAGAACATGAAAACCAGATACGACCGGAAATCGAACACGAACGGCTTCGAGGAAGGGTCACTGGTGTGGCTACATAACCCAACTCGTCGGAAAGGGAAATCCCCAAAGTTGCAGACCAAGTGGGACGGTCCATACAAAGTGGTTACCCGACTGAATGATGTGACTTATAGGATTCAAAAGCAACCAAGAGGGACATTCAAAGTGGTACACATAGACCGTCTGGCGCGTTACCATGGCAGTAACAATGATGCCCGGGACGAGCATCTCTAAGAGGGGAGTAGTGTTATGAACACACAAAGAAACTAACGCCATCTAGCGTCAACTATTAAAATCACTAAAGAACAAAGACGACATAAAACCCCCTATTCAACACTAGATGGCGTTAGAGGAACTGCTGTGGAACTCTAGTCTCGAAAACCGGGTACATTCGCGAACTTTCCGGAATCACGAACATGTTCGTGCGTGTCGGGTACGTTCCAGGAATGATCTTTCTGGATTAGTCCGGAACCGGTCTCGGCCCACATAAAAAGCCGCAGGGAGGCGAGAGATGACAGTTCAGTTTGAGCTACCTTCGAGGCGACTTCGGAGTGAAAAATAGTGATCGAGAGCGATACCAGTGAAACCTACGACTTGGCTACAACCTAGGACATCGTTAGTGCTTAGTGTTTAAACCTAGTGCTTTGTGTTGGACCTAGTGCGCGTAAAGTCTTCAAAAGAGTCAGCAGGTCTTTCTCTCCAAATCCTTCGAACCCCTAACGCGTAACAGTATGTACACTTAAGTTGCGTTTAATTTTTAATGTTCAAAAGATTACTTACAATTAATTTATTGCTCGTACTTATAATGGGGACCTGTGAGCTATTAATAGAAACCTATAACTTATTTCTAACTGCAATGTGATATAGTAAGCGAAATAGTAAAATATCATTAACAGTTGAATATTCATATTAGTCTGTATTAGTATTTATTTTAGTATTAGTATTCCTATAAAAAGGGAAATTAATTTCTAAAACAAAAGAACTATGATCTTCGATAAAAAATCACATATTTGCATTTCCTCACCCGTGTAATTACGATCTATGTGTATTGATGCAGAGGTTCATACACAAGTAGATATGTCTACGCTCGAGTAAATGAGATGCAGAAAGTAGGTTACAGTTCAGACTAGCATTGCGTGTTGACACGAGGATGATTCTAACATTACTACTCCACCTAGGTTGTAATAAGAAAGGACGGAACATTATAATAGGTTAATGTATGCGTGTACAAATGCAATTAAGCAGTTTGTTTTGCAAATCCTATTCAATACCATAATTAACTTTCAACTTACGTACAATGATAATATAAAATTCATTTGGTATAATTATAATTTGAGAATGAAACGATCGCTTTTCGTTTGGAAAAACAACAATCTACATAAAAAATTTTAAACAGTGGAGTTTTGGAGCTTCGGGAATCGATCCCACGTCTTCCAGAATCGCGCCCAGAACTTTTCGTCCATTAAAAATTTTATGTTTCATCTTAAGTGCACAGTGCACCGAGACATAAGTGCACCAAAAAAAAAAACGATTGAATAAAAACTTCTAATAAAAATATCACATGATGTTTTGAATGTCATGGGGTGAGATTTTAATCGGAAAGCTCATTAACTTTCTAAAACTGCTTCTGCTTAGGTTGATTATAATCTATGTTGCTATGCACGAGTATATGCAAGGTTCAGGACTCAGGTAAAACGGTTATTCCAGTCATTTTTTTTAAATGTGTGCCACTATTGACATGATTTTTAAACACAATTATCGTGAGGACGATAATAAAAAGGTCGCGATGCTATGAACAAAATCGCAAACATAGAAAACGTTACTAACTTAGATAAAGTGACTCAGTGAGATTCAAGTCTCTAATGTAGATGACATTTTAAAACTAAAAATAAAATTTGTACAATATTTTTCATTGTTTATGTACATAACTTAGTAGGTTACACAATGCGATTAAGTTATAACATGCAACACACGCTTGCACCGGATTACTGTCAGCTGCCCAGTCAATTGTAAATGAGATACCGATGGCGCGGCGTTCGGCATCCAGTAATTAATGCGGGACCACACTCGGGCCATGCCATCGTCTCCATTCAGTTGTTCAATGCTTGTGGGGCTGTCAAAGGCGTTGTGTTGCGTCGCAGTTACGCGCGGCCGTTGAATGCCGTCTGCACTGAAGTGTCAACGCCTGTTTGACTTCCGACGCGTGTCGCACTGAACGGGCATCGCGTTCATTCCAAGTCTGCAAATCTCGCCTCTCTCAACACTGGCTGTTCACCAGAATAGATAGCTAGCAGACTCCAAAACATTCGTGCATTCTTATAGACTTATCTAAAAATAATGCAAACGCGTAATTTGGCTCGGTTCTGCTTTAACAGAATTGTACACTGTTGTAGCGGCAAATTTTTTAAATAGATTCTTGTACGAAATTAACGGGTAAACAATAGTCAGTGCAGATGCATGCATCGATCCATAAATTTCTATTTTATTGTATAATATTAATCAAATAAACAGCATTAATATATACAATATTTTATGTCTTTGTTTCAATCATGCCTTTAATTGTTTCAGATAACATGGATCTCATTAGTCATTTACATTTTTTACGACACTTTTATTTATTACAAATTTGAACGGCGTTATTATCATCTGCGACGCATATTAGGGGTGAGTAACAAAAGGCGCAAATGCATGAAAATTTAAATTCTGTTCCAGCGGCATTCCGTACATGCGTTAAGCAGCAAATATCTCATTTTCTTGAACGATGTTGCCTCATTTCAGAGAATGAATAATTTAGGTCATTACAATTGAATCTCAGCTGCTTGATGAATTAAATTTATGTGTATGCCGCTGTACAAACAGATCTTTTCATTATAGATGTAATAGAAAATTTTCTGAGAATTTCCTATTAAATTTATATATTTTTGTATCTGACAGATAATTATAGAAGATAATGTGTATGTTATTGAGAAACCTGCATTATTTCGAAGATATATGAAGTATGCTAATACGCAGTGGGGTTGCGTGGTGGCTAAACAGAGGAGGCCTTTGCTCAGCAGTGGGACATATAAGGCTGTTATTTTACTTCATTTCTTATATAAAATATGCTCATAGTTATAGAACAATGAACAGTCCTTTTTTCATTTTACATATGGCGTCTATGAGAGAGGGATTGCTTCGATAGTTCTATTGTGTTATTTTTTTAAAGAATTATTTTTATACCATCAGTGGCCACAGTTTGTCTGTCAAATACTGATGCATTCATAGAACTGCAGTTTTCCTCTGACGTTTTGTGTGGTAGAGTACTTTTATCATTAAAACAAGCTACAGAACTGTATAAACTACCACGAATAATGATGATTCACTGACTGTTGACCTAATTACAAGTCGATATTTACTGGTTTGCTGCTCTAGAATGAAGGGTTGTTACATGGAGGATGTAACAACCCTTCCTTTTCACTATTTCCTTTAATAAAATCCCTTTTTTAGCTAATCACAATAGCATTATAGGTTTTATGTGTTCTTATTAGCCATTAACTTTAATGAGGGTACACGTTAAATAAAAGTTTTTCGATGCCAGATGTACACATGGAGAAAAGTAATAATAAAGAAAAATATAGATAAATACAGCCATAGAAATCTTATGTAACCTTACAAGCCTTGTAGCGTGTAAATTGTGTATTTTCTATTAAAAAAATGTCTGTTGCGAACCGTTTATCGTAATTTCATCACTAATGTCCCCCTGTTGGGTAAAGGCCTTTGCATGTAGGCCCAACTTTGGTTCAAATAAAAAAAATGGAATAAATTCTCGTCACGATGTTTTCCTTTACCCGTGAGCACGTAAGTCAGCACTTGAATATTCAATTAACAATTTGATTGGTGCAGGTACCTGGATTCGAACTCAAGTTGCTCGAGTATTCTAAATTAATAGCGAGCGCTCGGACACCGAGCTATTACGGTTTACATTGATCGGTTTACATGACAAATGCATTTGTATAACGATAGATGTACTTTCTTACGTCCTAACACGAATTTCAGTTAGGGCTATGCATATCAAGGGGAACAGCAACAGTTCTCAATTTATGCTGCGCGCTGGTCCTGTTGCCACTCTGCAAGAAGCTCAACCAACTTCTCTACCGCCTATTGTCGAAATTATGGCCCGGCCTCTTCTTCTTCTGGCTGGAAAGAGCGAAGAGTTTCCACATGACCGTAGCAGTTACTCTTCTTTCGTTTTCTGGTTAGTATGCGTTAGACTGGATTTAGTTTTTAAACTCAAACTGTAACACATTGTAACTGCATGGAAAAGTACAACAATAGTTAACAATTTGTTAAGTTTTAATAACAATATGGATTTGTAAGAAAAGTCACCACAGATGAAACTAGAAACGAGAGTCATTGTTGTCAGCTTTTTGTGTGAGTACCAATGATCATTGGAGAGGACTGAGGTGTGCTTTCAAATATTGGAAGAAGGATACCATTTAATTGAATGTATTTTTGGTATTTATATAATTAAAATAAGTTCGGTAGTACTAAGTATCACCCAAATGGTGATACTTAGTATCTTGCAAACTAGGAATCTCAACCTGACTTGATGGTTATGTTGGTGGATGGGTTCGTACACGTAAACTCATTACTAGTCTTGTAACTCCAGTGGGGTTGTTGAACGTCATCCGATTAAATTCTCGCCCTTTACAAAATCCGGTTTCTCGAATATTCCTGTTTAAGACGAATTAGACCCCGCAACGACCCTATTCTGGGTCCGCATTAAGTTCTTGAGACGAAGGCTAATGGTCGTCTCGCACTAGTTAGACGCTCGAGCGTTTCGCGCCTCCGCTGCTCGAATATTGTGCGTATTTAGATTTATAAGTGGCTCCGTTCCGTGCGTCTAGAGTTTGGGGGTGGAGTCTGTTCAGCTTTATCCACGTCGGTGCGTGTTTTTCAATACTTCACTCGGTAAATTCAGCCGCTTGTTTGAGAAATAGCAGAAACCTATTCTTAGTTGTTATTCTTAACGCTATTTACTTGAGTGTCTGGGGATTCTTTTCCTGATATGTTTAGTTATATTAAAACGTCGATATAATTTAATATATTGACTCCCCACGGGATGGGCATAGCGTGTGTGAAGATAGAGTTGAAGTTGTTTAAAGTTCAACATTTTTGAATATGGCATAATAATTGAATTGCGTCCAGAAAGAGATTTCTATTGTATTTATTTTAGTAGTTTTTACATTTTGTATTTGCATAGTAAAATAAAAGATAAACATACATTGGTTATAATTACCCATCAAGTAAGATTGTAACAAGCTAGTTCTTGACAAACAATAAAGAACGAAAATACATTTAAAGCGTTTCCTTGCAGTGATACATTCGGCGTCGCATTTCGTGAACCTGTGGAATTTCTCCCGCAACTACGAGGAGCGGTGGGCGGAGATTAACTTGGCTCGCTACAGGAACGAGGTTAGTTTGCTAACAATGCGTGCTCCCGTGCCGCACTTGCGAGACTTTCAGGGGGCCTATTCTGTACCGTTCACATCGTAAATATCTTTAGCGACATATTTTACGTCTCGTAAATTCCTGTATTCTCTGTGTCTAGCCAAGGATATCCAATTTTCTCCTGCTACCTTTACTAGTTCATCCGACCATCTAGCGCATGGGCGACCTCTAGACACAGATAACAATGGAAGTCCTTGGAGGAGGCTTTTACCCGAAAGGGGTCCATATAAGCCACGAAAAGAATTATTAATCAAATGCATTTATTATTTTATTTTTAATTTATTTATTTAATGAATTTCATTTAAATCTGTACTTATTGCAATCAAACTTAGTTAAAAATACTTTTATTTATATTAGGCTATTAATCAATGTGGTATGTGGAATGAATAAAGCTTATTATTATTATGTTGGGGATATTTATTTGTTATCTCGTCTGGTTGGGTTTATAGATAAAAAATAAACATGTAAATATATATTGCATATATAAAATAAATATTATGAATAAAAATAAACATATAGATATAAATATTATATATAATACATAAATAATAATAATTATTATTATCATAAATTCCTGTATTAGAGAGGTACATATTTTACTTTTGATATATGCGAGGAGAGTGGGCTTTGAGAGGTTAAAAGAGATTGCGTGTATCTTTACATAGTATAAAACAAAATCGCTCCCGATGTTTGTACGCTTAGGTCTTTTAAACTACGCGACGGATTTTAATGCGGTTAGGTTTTTATATATGCATATCATAGTCGAGAAATTCAATATCTGTATTGCACCCGTGCGAATCCGGTGTGGGTCGCTAGTAAGACGACAATAAGTTGACATGTTCGTCAAACCATAAGCTGGGGAGCATACAACTTACTGTTTCTACATAGGAATAATTGCCTACCGCCTAGGTCGTTTCATAAATTACGTGAATAATTAAATAAAATGTTATTTTCTCCAAGGGCTTGTATTTGATATAAGCAGTACTCAAACGACACAAGAAACGTTGTGATGTTTATTACATCAAAAAGCTTCTCCGGTGTAACAAAAAAGTTACAGCCAACAAACAAAGTGCCTGCGACGAATGTGCAGGGCAAGAACGTGCACAATGTAACTTCCATTTCTTACCAGCATTACCACTTTGAGGACTTGAAGTCTGTTACGCTTCAGAAGCGCGGATCAAGAAAGGCCTGCCTCCTTTTATTCGCTACTGACGTTCAAACTGCATGCTAGAGTGGTTTTACACTGAACAAAACGTTAGTAACACGCCACCCGTTTAAAATTTTTCACTTTTCATGTATCAAGATTTACATGAAGTGATTATGGAAATTTTACGTATTGAGAATACGAATTAGAGAATCAGTTAATGTGCATATAATTTCTTAAATGCGCAAATGGTAATTTATAAAGTTTTTATTGCCTAATTTCAATTGGATGACAATACTGCATATAAAACTAAAGTGTTTTTCTTCTTCTTTTAGTTAATAATTATTTTTTTAAGTTTTGATATTGCCTAAGCACAGTATCCTTTTGCAGCGAATAGAAGTGATTATGGAAATTTTACGTATTGAGAATACGAATTAGAGAATCAGTTAATGTGCATATAATTTCTTAAATGCGCAAATGGTAATTTATAAAGTTTTTATTGCCTAATTTCAATTGGATGACAATACTGCATATAAAACTAAAGTGTTTTCTTCTTCTTTTAGTTAATAATTATTTTTTTAAGTTTTGATATTGCCTAAGCACAGTATCCTTTTGCAGCGAATAGAAGTGATTATGGAAATTTTACGTATTGAGAATACGAATTAGAGAATCAGTTAATGTGCATATAATTTCTTAAATGCGCAAATGGTAATTTATAAAGTTTTTATTGCCTAATTTCAATTGGATGACAATACTGCATATAAAACTAAAGTGTTAACTTCTTCTTTTAGTTAATAATTATTTTTTTAAGTTTTGATATTGCCTAAGCACAGTATCCTTTTGCAGCGAATATGTATTCCTTTAAAAAGAGAGTCTGTATTAATCCTTTGTAGTATTATACATAAAAAGGAAATCTGAGTAAGTCAAGTTACAATTGACGTATTAGTAAAATAACTAACTAGGTAAAATAAATAGTTATTTTACTAGTCCGTGTCACAATTGCTGTGTCAGAGACTTTTAGAATAATCTCCGACAATGCCGTAGAGTTTGAACAAACACAACGGGGTGTAAAGGCGTGGTGTCCACGCCCCATCAGATGCTCATTGTACGACGGCTTATCTATAATGCACGCGCCCGTCTGGACTTGTGTTTGCACGATTATTGAGAAGAATTGAGCCTTTATGGAGCATTGTCTGAGTGGGGAAACATATTCACACGTGTGTTCAGAGATGATTATCCACTTTCACTTGGGCCACCGATTAAGTGGCGCATTGAACATTGATATAGCAAAATAAGAAGACTGATTGTAGAATTTTGTTCATCAAAGTCAGAGTTTCGTGTTTAATAATCTTCTAAAGATGTACTAGATTCTACATTCATTTCAGATGTACTAGATCTTTGTGTTTATTCACTGATAATGAACACCGTGTTAGTAAGCAAGAAAAATAGACTAGAACTACATTCCATGCACTATCTACATATATCGATAACGAAATATATAGAGTGACTGGAAATTTCTTGGGAAAAGTGCCAGTAAATTCCGGTCATGTCAAATAACGCTTAGAATATCCATTCTAATAAGCAGCGATTCCGAAGCTATCGAAGTAGATTTTCCTTTAAATCGCTGATCTTGTCGATAAAATTAAAATTTCTTTGTCTTTATCAACATTTTAACATTATTTATGGTTAAAAAAATGTTTCAATTAAATTAATAAATAGAACAATTTAAAAAAATTAAAAGCTGTTTATTAAGTATATATTAAGTACGTTTCTTATTCTTGATATTTTATGTTTTAATAGTTCTTTATATTTCAGTAGCATAACTCATATATTGTAATTAAAGTGACGTAAAAATTAAAATATATTCGTGAAATATTGATATGAATATTTCTATTTTGTTCCATTAACTGAAATATAATTAATAATTATATTCGCCGTTTTGTTGCGGATTTCGCAATATTGCTCGAGAAACAACGGAGGAACAAACTTCGAGGGCCCTTAGAAAGTGGGGGCATTTATCACAAAGTCAATTACGGCCTCTAGTGTCCAACTCCTTTCGTTGTTTAGAACTGTCAGGGGAGACTGTAATTACTCATTATTAGTACTACAGCTAAGTGAGACTTTTGTTTTTAATGAAAAAAAGGGTTATTTTGTGGAGAAAAAATGCAATATTTTTTTCCGATTACGATTTAAAGATTTTTTTACTTTGTTTTTGAAATACAAATAGAATATAAATGATTATTTAGAATAACAGTTTCCTGTGTTAAAACAACTTTTATACTTACTGGTATTTTTAGTTTCATGCGAGTCTTATTACAAATACAATACATATTATATTCTTCCAATTCAGACTCTGTTATGGACACATTCATAAAAGCAGACTGCGCTTCTGTGTTTCGTTGTGCTATTTAGCATATCGACGAGAGAAAAATTACGTATTCTACGGAGTATCTGATACGGAGTAACTGATGCAGTACAAAGGAATTTGCTATTTTCTTTATTCATTCATATTCATTCAATATTCATTCATACATTCATCATTCATTCGTTCAATATTCATTCATTCATTCTATTTTAGAGTCCATTTCGCCTGCTCCTAAGTATGGCGGGCTTGACGGGCGTCATGCTGCTAATAATTGCCATCAGCATGGGCCTGACGTCGTTGCGGATAGTCCGGCGCAGGTTCTACAACGCGTTCTGGTACACGCACCAACTGTACTTTCCCTTCATGGTCTTCTTAATGATCCATCCTTTGAGGTAAGCATAAGGTCAGTTTCAGTTTCTAAGTCAGTACTTTCGCTTTATTATCACTGCCGGAGTGGGTCGTGGGTTCGATACACGTGGATGATATAAACATTATCTTATGGTCATGTTGTCCTACAAAAAAGGATTTCGTACAATATATCTATTGAATATATATATTCAAGGTCAATGACGCGCACATTCTTATTTGAAAAGCCTAGTGAATATTTCTACTTTCCACGCTTTGTGAGGACGTGGTAATAATAATTCCCCGTTGCGTTTATTCAGTAGAAGAAAAGAGAAAAAGTTAGTGTTTTCTTATATTTTCAAAATTCATTTTCCTTTACAGCGGCGTCCTGAAGGAAGAAGTCATAAGTGAACATAACACTAGTCTTTACGCTAGTCAAAAAAGTTGGACGAACAGTTCAACTCTCCACACGGAGAAGTTTGTGCCGATAAAGTCTAAGGTAAGCTCTCTTTCATTTTGAGACATATATACGGGAGTATTAAATTGTTTTATGTCCTAAAGTTAAAAATACATAAGCAATGAAAAGAATCAAAGAACTACTCTAGCACAAAATACAGTATAATTGGCCGATAAGAAATAATAGAAATGCTCTCATTAAAATGTTATTTTTCAATATAGAAAATATTAAGCTACGTGGTGTCCTAGTGCCTAGCATGATCTGAGCTTCCGGGTTCTAATTCCAGTGTCGTGTATCAATTAACTCCTTAATGTAATACGTGCAAAAATAATGTGTCATATTTGTACCCATGTTCAACAGTTTAGTTTATAGTAATATTGTTTTTTACTTTAAAATGTATATAATATAATTAACTGGTTTTCTAGCACTGATTAAATGAATGATGTTTAAACTTCTCTCGATAATTCATAATATTATTCGTAGATAAACTATTTCTATGATTAAATAGCATTCAATGTTTATATGTAGAGCAAGGAATTTTAACGAAATATTATATATCATGGATATATTATATAATAAGGTGTGCTGAAAAATGCATAATTGTTTATCATTGATTGACAATTATTATGTTTTACTCGGTCATACAAATAATTAGACGATGACATATTTTTAAATATTAGTCTTGATGATACGCGCTAATCAGATGATCGAGTGAATAAATAACGTAGGCATAGTTACCGTGTAATAACCTCTTGGACGTCTCATCTTTACACCGAAAGAGAAATTTTAGAATTTGTTAAATGATAACACCTAAATTACTTTCATTTAGCAATTTTACTCCATGGTGCATTAACAGTAAACTGGCTGATATTTGGTTCATGTATCTCTTTTTAGGATAATCTGTCAATTTTAATATTAATCTGCATTCAAGATGAAATTTATTTGTGAGTTTAATTGATAGGTTGTCAGAAATTTTCCGCCGCTCCGGGATTCAAACGTGAGTCTTCTGGATAAACTTAAAGCGACTAGACGCGTAAAACATCTTCCTAAATTTAATACATTAATACATCTGCTCTATAAATATCAATAAAAACTACATTAAAAGAAATATAACTCAACTAGATTATCCTCTGCCTGACCTAAACGTGTTTGGCTTTGACTTTTAAAGGCGAGTATATAATGTATAATGTGATGAGGTATCTTGTACCTTCTAGAATTTTATAAAATGGGATATCAGTGAGCATTCGTTTGGGCACGTCGTTGCAAGGTGACGCCAAATGTCATTTGACATTCGTTTGGTATTTCACACGTTTAGAATCACATGACATGTCACACTTCGTGCAAATGTATAGAGTGTAGTCAATGTCAAGACCGATTCTCCCATAGTTCCAGATCAATGGGCCGCAGAAACTATTGTACAATCAGATGCCGTAGTAAATTCAATGGGAGAGTTGAAGGTTGAGTTAGGTTGGCGAGTAGGTGGGTGCGACCGGAAATGACGAGTCGTTAACTCCTCTATAATCTGCCGGCCCCAGCTGTTGACGAAAATAGCCCTTTGTTATGTGTTTGGTTTCTAATTAATTATACGCCGCCATGTTAACTTCTGGACGTTTATGGTCGTAATTTTACAAGTAATTAATCTTTGCGCTATCGTTTACTTCTGTCAAATTTAAATATAACGCGGTATCCCTGATCCTATTTTTTTAATTATCCTTTAAAGTAATATAAGCTATTTAGAAGTAGCTATCTTTTTAGAAATTGTTACTCAATTGAGGAAATGTTTTAAATGAAATTATATTAATTTGTATAGTAGACACTATTCTCGGCACTATGAATTTTAAAGTTTCTGGAAAAATGGACGAAAAATTTTTCGTCGATGCGAGGATTTGAACCTGCATTCCTCGGGTATCGCACCCGACGCTGTAACCTAGGACTGAAAAAAAAATCAGTTAATACAAGAAGCTGTAACCTAGCTAGACGAAATTTCGCTAAATGTTATTCAAAGTAATACGTAAAGCTTTGAGCAGCTTTATTTATTTGTAGTTACAAAGAAAAAACTAAAAAACCTTAAACCTATGACGAACGGCGTAGTGGGTAGCGAATCTGTCCCGCGCGTCAAATGGTGTGGCTTCGATCCCACTACTGGAAAAGTATTGTGTGATGAACATAGTATTTTCCCAGTGTCCCAGACATGTTTGTATATTCATAATACGTATTTATTTACAAAATAGTGTTAGTTATTTACAAGTATGTTTATCAGTTATCTCGTACCCATAGTACAAGCGTTGCTTAGTTTGGGACTAGAGAATGTTGTTTAAAAATGTGAAAAAAAAAACCCATTGAAAGCATTATCGTCAGCATCTCCTTATTAATTACTTTAATGGATAGATAAATTTCATTACGAGACTGTTTTGAATCTTTAGGTATCTCACGAACCCCGATAGTTAGACAGTTGAAATTTTCACAAATGATGTATTTCTGTTGCCGCTATAACAAAAAATACTAAAAAACGGATTAAAAATATTTAAGTAGGCTCCCATACAACAGACATGATTTTTTTGCCCTTTTTATAGATAATGGTACGGAACCTTTCGAGTGCCAGTCCGACCCGCAATTGTTTTTGTTTAGTGTTTTGAATAGACAAACTGTTCATAAAATAATTTTTATCATGTCGGCTATCAGAATATCAGTTACTATATTATACTGTAATACCCACTATTTCAAATAACATCCAAATTCACAATATGATTGAACTCAAATGTCTTAAACACACATTAGCGTGGTAAATTTCATACGGTTTATTAATATACTGTATGCTCGAGTGCTGAATGCGCTTGACTTTGATATATCCCTTTGTACTGTACTGTTGAAAGTTAAACAAAATTTATTACTTTCAATGTTCCAATTGAACAGTACGTTGATGTATAATACAAGCGATTTAACTGAAAAGACTAAACTCAAACAACAACCAAACTGATTAATGGAATTATCTATATGAATATGAAAAATTTGTTTTATATTTCAAACGGTACTTTATGGATTTAGATGGCGATGGAGTTAAAGCATATTAAAAGTAGGGCTGAGGGCTCACGTTAGTTATTCATATAATTTTCATTTGTTCTTAATTTACTTAGCCCAGAATTCAAACCAAACAGTATTCACTATTTCTTATTCTGACTGCAGAAACACGCAGTCATAGAAATAACGGGACCAGCTTTATATATCTCGATATTGACTCATTGTCGAGGCAAGTTTATAGAAGCTTATGATTATTTTTAGTCCGCTGTTTCAGAATGTTGCGTTGGACATTCCACATTAAACATCATAACATTTCAAAGTTTAATATTCCATGTGTAAAGAAGACCCTTAAAATATTTAAAGAATACATAGATAGATACATATGTCTTGACATACTTAGAGAGAACATTTCCTGATGTTTAAATAAGACAGTACACTAACTTGTCAGTGGAGTTTCGGTGCACTTTAGTTAAGTTGATAGCGCTGATGTGTATTGATCAGGACATAGTATGTCTATAAATTAGGGAACCTTTCGTCTATACATTGCATATTTAATTAATTGATACAGACGTTCTTTCGAGGGGTGTTGTGGGCATAACACGAATAATATCTCAACGTTAAATTAAATATCAAATCGTATGCTACTAAACTTCACGTCATAAATAACCTATACTAAAATGTAGGGGTCATGATTTTGTGAAATAGGAAAACGAGTTGTAAAAGAAGTAAGGAACGTGACCGGAGTCATGTTTACTTCCCAAGATTTTCTTGTTTAGCTTCTCATATACAGCTTATACCAACTTATAAAGCTATCACCGTGTTTGTCAACTTAGTGATCTAAAAAGTCTAAAAAGTAGTAAGCGTTGACGATTTCGTCTAGTTTAATAGATTTGATTATACCCGCCGTTTCTTAATACGTGAATTCAGTGTTTCGACTAAGTCATCCTAATCTCTAGGTTCTTTACTCGATATCTGAATAAAATATCAAGGAATAACCTGACTTAGAGCAAATAAATAGAGTCTAAAGAATCTTATGAGACCTTTTTCCAGTTTTTGGAACGAATTACCTTGAAGTGTCTTGCAGGAGTTGACAGTTGCTAGAAATCGTCACGTAAGGAAAAAGTGTTATGTTCCATTCGACTACCAGCGAATGGCTTTCCCTCTCTCTGTTCTGTCCTTTTCTAATACGCAGCAGCTGATTGAACAACTTCGGACGGTGGAATAAACTAAAACATTTTTTATATAATTTTTTTTATTTATTCCTTTAGTATATATTTTTTTCTTTTTTAAAAATATTGGATGATATTATCCTGTGTTGTAAGGGTGTTTTAAAAACATAAATTTCATGTGGACAAGCACCCAAATCCGAAACAATAATTACTATGGGTCACACAAATAGTTGTCCCGTGTGGGAATAGAATCCACGACCCCCAGCCGAAGCCAATACATTGAAAACAGAGCCACGGAGGCATCATGTTTATTATTCGACAAATTTTCATTTTAAACATCATGATATTAACGACACTGATAAACACGTATATAGAATTAAAATACAAAAAAAAATTCACACAAATATATTGCGCTTGTAACGCATTAGGAAAGTAAACTTTATATCTTTCATCATTTGAAAAACAATTATGGATGATTCATTTAAAAGGATTAAGGGTTTCAGGACATCGAAGTCGTATAAAATATACATTGTAAGTACACGTAAACAAACTACAACACGCTAATGAAAATAAGAGAATTATTATTGTGTAATTTATACATCAGTACCTGGAGGATTGTTTTTTTTTGTAAATCATGTATTTTGGAAATTATAATATTATTATTATTAATATGATGAACTGGTATTTTTCACAAAAGAAAGAACTTTAAAAAAAGAACAAAATCATCTGGATCGACAAAAAATAAAAATTAAGAAAGCAATGATCTGAAATCGAAAAAGAAGTAAAAAAATAAGTGTGTAAATGATTGTGACACGAACCACGGCCTTCTGTTTCGGGGCCGCCCGATCACCGACCGAGCTATTATAACATTTTTTTTTCGGCGAAATTTACCGTCATATTCGAATGATATTTTTCATTACCTGAAAACAGGGATAAAAGGACATTTTCTAAAAATGAAACTTAGCTAGATCGATTTTTCGCCTCCGAATCAACGCACATACTACATTTCATGAAAATCGCTGGAGCCGTTTCCGAGATTCCGATTATATATACAAGAATTGCTCGTTTAAAGGTATTAGATGTGAAAAATCACGTCCTTATGAATTCTTCCTGAAATCATATGGTCCGTTACCACAGCGAATACGTCTGTCATTTGCAAAATTAGCGCATTGACCACCGATGAGTGCAATAGGTGGTAGTCATGCACTAGCCATAGCGCCCTTGTGTCGTATGTTGTATTAATGTAAAATTTACCATTATAGAAAGCTAAACACAAAAAATGTACACAATTAAGAGTACAGTCGGTTTTTCATATAAAATTGTACGTCTGTTTCATTAAGTGTTAGAATTCTAAGTTTGAAAGAAAAATTAAAGTTGGAATCATAAAGCGTGACGTTAAGATTTTAACTTTATTATTATTTTTATAATAAGATAACAAATGATATTATAAAAAGTAGTTTAAACGTATTTAGTGCTATTCTTACTTACTTAAAATGACACATTAATATTAGTGGATCAAATAGACCGTGGCGTAAGCTAAACGACAATTTCAAATATCGTTTTTAATGTGTCATCTCAAGTGCAGGAATAAGCATTATAAAAATTTAAATTTCTAATAGCAATGGCGAATTTCTGGTTCGTTGTAAAACTATATTTGAAAATCTCTGATGATAATTTATAAAAGTAGGTATTACTTTGCTATGGATAAAAATAGTTTGATAAATTATCTTGTGACTGAAGGTGTTATAATTAAAACTAACAAGCGGCCTAATAGTTAAAATATGTCAAATGGCATAAACTGCAATTGAATTGAAAAATATTATGATCTTTCAGACATGGCTTTGGATGGCTTTACCTTTAAGCTGCTTCCTCTTCGATCTTCTCTGGAGGATATTTTCCAGGAATCGGGCCCGAGTTAACCTGTTAAAAGTAAGTACATATTTCATAAATTCAATTATACCTATATACCGATAAAGCTATTCAGAGGTTTTGAAATGTTTTCGAAATTTGAATTTAAATTACATACATAATTATTTATGTATGAGTTAAACGTAATCTATCTTTATATATATAATTTTTATGTACGTGTGTATGTCATTGAACTCCTCTTAAACGGCTGGACCGAATTTAAATGAAAATATGTGTGTGTCTTCAGGTCAATTCGAGAATGCATGATTCGTAAACCTTACAAAAAAATTTAACTCTGATTTTAGTCGGGTGTACAGGACAACGTCTGTCGGATCCATATACAGCGTGTCTTTACGATCGCGACAGTAAATGAACACAGATATAGAGGATAACTTTTTAAAATTGTATTAAACATTTACATTCTTTAAACATCAATATTTACAGAGTTATAAAATTTTCCAAAACCAAGAATTTTAGAACACTTTGTAAAGGTCACAAAGCATATGAATGGGTTGAATGAATTTAAAAGAGACAAAACATACTGTTAGAAGGAGAGGCTTGTAATGCGACGCTGTGGCGCGAGTTGTATAGGATGTTACAAATTTTGTTTATTTTTTAATTAATTAGTTTGTTTGAAAAATATTTTTTTTAATTATGGATTTTTTTTAACGTTAATATTTTTTTATGATTATTGGCAAGTAGCGTTAGACGTGTGTTCATTTATGGTCGCGATGGTAACGACATCCTGCATATAAGTAAATGTTTCCGTATGTTTCTGTCGAGAATACACAACAACTAGCAGATGGGTTGACTTTATATTCTGGTCAAAACAGAGCTATTGAAAAAATAAAAAAAATTATTTTGAAAAGTCTTTTATTTTATCTTTTAACTCAGAAGTTCAAATGGAAAGCAAAAAAGCCACAGCGTAACGTGGCCTGGTTCAGCTAGTTGTATTTGAAAAGCTTTGAAACGTAGAATACCTTTATATAATACTGTTACACGTTGATAATAATAAAAAATAGAAGCTTCGCGAAAGTGTCGTGCCTCTACGTCTACGATAACTTTAACAATTCCAATGATAACTTAGTCAAAAATATAGATACAAAGATATATAATTTTTTAACAAGCGTCAAATTCATTGATAACATGACAATGGTTAAGTTAATATTTAAATTAATAAGCATTCCATTAAAAAGGTATCAGAGATTAAGTAAGGTACAATTTTCTTTTCTAGCTTAGAAAAGTAATAGTGAATGAACTGGTGGCATTTGAATATTCATGGTACATTGCATAAAGGCTGTGCTTATACCATTTTAAATATTCTTTTGCGTTTGCCACACGAATGGCCCTTTCAAATGATGCTGAAGATTTTAATCAAAAGCAAACAGCTGCGTCGTCGGCGATTTAGTCCAGTAACCGATTGAACTCATAAGCCATAACCCATAAGCCTCTTACGCCCGATAGTACAGTCGGCAACGAAAGTCAATTGGCATTTGTACGCGAATTCGACTTTCAATGGGCGTAATATCTGTCTGAACAGTTTAAATCAAATGAAATTTCAAAAAGTGCACCATTTAGAAGTATAACTTTATTTTTTTAAGTTCACAGTAGATATTAAACGATAATAAAAGTAAAATTTTGATCAAGATCAGTTATGGACCTGATAGCTTTATACGAACCTTTCAATCACTCAAAATTTTAACTTTCTCCATAAAACAATACACAATGTATGTATATAATATTATAGTATTTTATATTACATATATTACAATAGTAATGTATTACATATATTTTTTCAATCGTTCCAGAACTAACCTAATATCCTCCCTCTTATATTAGCCGACCCGACAGACTTTACTGTACACACCTCAAATCCGACACGAACAACTTATTCAAAAAAAATAATTAAAAAAAAATATTTGTAATGGACCGACTTGAGCAACAGATCAGTACATTTGTGTTTGTGTCACGCAATGATAAAATTTGTATATTTATGTATCCGTATGTTATAAGTCATTGAGACGTTTAAAAAAGTGGAAGTTTTATTTAAATTTATAAACGGAAAAAAGTTGTGTGTGACCTTAAGGTAATGCTATTACTTCACCTTGCTAATATTTTTTATCAAGGCCTTCTAAGTGTTTGCCTGCTATCGCACCTATTACCCTAGCGCTTATTTTAGGGGCTCTAAAAGTTGAATAAATTAGTAGCGTTTAAGAGGAATTAAATGAAAAAATTTAAAACAAAGTCGTCTCACAATTTTCAGTTAGTGTGGGTAAAACGTGAGAATCACTCGCTCACGTTCGCGAGAAACACGAACGTGAGCGAGTGATTGAAAAATTAATAAGGCATAACCATTTTTCGGTACATAATGATTTCCACCTCAATCCACGCAAGTCGCGTTAAGGAAGAACCTCTTTTTAGAGCACGATAACGATTTTCTTTTTGTTCGTATTTCTCACTTTTAAACAGGTGGGCCACATGGCCGGGCGTACACTTAGCATCACGATGAGCTGCCCTGACCAGAGCTTCACTTGTATAAAGGGCCAGTACATGCTGCTGCAGTGCTTGGACATCTCGCTGCTCGAATGGCACCCTTTCACCGTTGTCAAGGTCAGAAATTAACCGAAATTAACAGAAATAAACCTACGGGTGTTGCAAATGTTCATGGGCGGCGGTTATCACTTAACATCAGGTGAACCACCAGCTCGTTTGCCACCATCTTGAGGTCTTGTCTAGATTTTCGAAGATCTTGCATTTTCTTATAGCTTCCGACGGCTAACCACAGGCAGTTTGAGGTTTGGATAAGGGTCAAAGGGGACTGGACTGAGTCCTTGGAGAGACTAATCCTGGAAAGAGGCGCAACTAATGTCAGGTAAATATTCGTTAGTGTGAAGTACTAAAAACTTTACGTTTTACTTTGTTTGTTATTACTTCGAAAATATGCAGGTTTCCTCACGATGTTTTCCTTCACCGTTGACATCGGCACTTAAAATTTACAATTTCATTGGTGCTGGCATGGAATTTGAACTCAGGTTGCTCGAGTATAATGATTTAAAATCGAGCACCCTGTCTTTGCACCACGATTTCATACGATCTAGACTACAAGGATTTCCCAACATTACATCTTCCGTTGGACGAGATTTGTTCCTCCAGTGTTGGTACAACTCGCAGGATGTTAATGGACGGTCCTTTCTCGAGTCCTATGGAGGGAGTGAGTAGAGAGGGAGTCGCGCTGTGCGTCGCCGCTGGTATCGGTGTCACGCCGTTTGTGACGACCCTACACGATATGCTGGCGTAAGTATGGTGGCGGTTTGTGATTCGGTAGATGACTCCGTGGCGTAGTTGCCAAGTTGTCTTCGGCGCGGACACCGTGGGTTCGATTCCCACCCGTGTAAAATATTTGCGTATCCCACTGATAATGGTTTCGGACCTTTATTTTCGTCCACGTGAAATTTCTGTATTTAAAACGTCCTTAAAACACAGCATAATATTATCCTAAAGTACCGGAGTAATATTTTCGAAGGAGACTATTAGATCTATCTAAGTCGCGGTGGTCATTGCGATTTACTACCCGTAACAAATAATAATAATGGCTTAGAAGCTGTGCTTCTTTTGATGCGTTTTTTAAAATACGTCGGAGTGTATTTGTCATGAATTACATAGTATGACAATTTCTCTTCTTTATTCCTGTCTTAGCCCAACTTTTTGAGCACAACATGTGAATCATGTTATAAATGGTTGTCGCTAGGTTTTTATAATCGACCGGCGACTGCCTCATCATCATTATTTCAGCCTGTTTGATTCCACTGCTGAACTACACCATAGACTGCCACGAAGTACGTTCCTGAGCCACCTTAATCATATATGTAACAATATTAACTCGTTTTCTTGAAAGATAGATTTTTTTTCGTTATTTTACACACAAATAGAGAGAACTGGAACAAATGTGTGGAACGTTGGGGGTCGTGGGCTCAATTCCCACACGAGACAATTATTTGTGTGATCCACATATAGTTGTTTCGGATCTTGTTTAGTGAAATTTTGGTTGTTAAATATCCTTACATATAGGATAATTTTATCCTACATAAGTGCAACGATTAAAAAATAATATGTTTTTTTCGCTCTCTAACGGTGTAATGGAATGTCTTGGTATATTTAGTTTACCAAATATACTTATGTTACTTTTGCTTATTCAAGCACTATTTCCCGTTGTTTATATAACTAAAGCGTTTCTCTAGGAACCCGAGAGCCCACCTGCCAGGGCGTGTGCATTTAATATGGATAGTGAGACGTGAAGTGGAGTTAGCATGGCTTTCAGGGTTAACGGACAAAGTCATATCCGTGCTGAGGCGCGCCAATCGTCCAGATAGACTGCATATAGAGTTTTACGTGACGGGCACAGAGGACAACGGAACTGCGGATAAAGATAAAAATGTACCTAATGCTACTGTGGATAAAGTTAAAAATGGCCTATCACACATCGTTGTCGTGAACGAAAAGGGCGTCCTGACTCACGTTTTAGATAAACATGCAATAGACGACGGGAAAGCTCATCTAGATAAACAAGAGAAGTGTAATGATGAGAGAGCAACTCTGCTCACGCCGAATAGAAAACGCAATGGTTGCGTGGAAACGGGAGTGGTGGGGAGAAGGGAGAAAGAGTTCGACGTAGCGAAAGAGTACCCTCTGGTTGGGTGCAGAGTGAGAAGGGGCCGACCTCATTGGGACCGCGTGTTCGGTTATTGGGTGCATCTGTATCCGGGGTAAGAATTTGGCTTTGCGAGTTTTAGTAGACATATACGATATGTCAAATATAGCAACAAAGTTCTAGATTCTATGCCCTCTGCATATATTTATGTTAACGAGGACTATTTATTTTAATATTACATTATCGATGTTTAATGAAAGTATTTATGTTTATATTAGCACTATAAAGAAATAAAATTTATATCTTTGCATGTGATGATTAAGTTTATTTCATTTTCATTACGAATTTATATTATATATATAACAAAATTTTTGCTTACACAAACGTAATTATGACTTATAAATTTCAATTATTGCAATCCTATATTAATTACCTGAATCTTTAGAAGTATTGGGAGTCTACTTTGCCCAATGACGATGCACACTGCACTCCCATTTTATTAAGAACATCTCCGACCAGTTATTCATTTCAGATGTTTAATTGATAATAATTTGAGTTTTAGATAAGTGAGAAATAAGTAATTTATTAATGAACAATATCTGTAATATATACATTTGACTTTAAAATTAAATGGAAGATGTGATTTAGTGAGTTTTTTTTTAGTGTAGTTAATTTTAATTTTCACAGGGACCACCTCAACCTATATTGCTGTGGACCAAAGAAATTAGTGAAGTTATTAAGGGGAAAATGCAAAAGCGTATCAAACCGTACCAAGACCAAAATCACATTCATCCACGAGGCTTTTTCCTAAATTAGTTAATGTAATTTATTTATTGATATTCGTTAACTGAATATAAACGCATTTAAGCCGAATGTTGTTTTATTTCACTGAAAGAACCTGTGGGCGCGATTCAGCCAATTCTATCTGGGGAGATATCGTTACCTACCGAAATCTCAATATTTAAGTAAAAAATATTTTTCACATTTCGAATTTTCTTAACAAAACTGCAACGAAAGGCTCCGACTATTTTCATGAACATGCCATGAAAATGTACAATAGCAAACTGAAATTACTAAATTATCCGTAATCATGATTAAACTTCTTCGCTTGATGATCCCTAATTGCAAAAGTTTCAATGGCTAGCTTAGCGAAAGTTTAATCGGATCATTTGAAAGTCAATCATGATGGCTTTGAAACGTTTCATTTCTCCGAGTCGAGATTTTTTCGACTTCAACTTGAAATATCTGTTCTATGTTGGTTTATGGCCGAGGGAGGATTTCTCTAAGAGGCACGCCATTCTTTACAAACTGTACGAAATCTCGTTGCACGTTCTGTCCCTGATATACGTTTTGACGACCAGTATCGGAACGTATCAACACAGGGGTGATTTCACTGTACTCCTCGCTAATTTGGACAAGACATTAGTCGCGTACAACTTCGTCCTGAAGGTGGTCGTGTTTGTTTTGAAGCGGAAGCAATTGGAACGGCTGATCGGAGAGATCATTTCTTCGGGGGATCGCATTACCTATCAACGGAAGTGCCTAATGGCATTCCACATGGTCGCTATAACTGTTGTGACAACTGCCACCATCGGAGCGTTCAGCCTGTTGGCCTTATTCAAAATGGAGATGATCGTGGAGGCCTGGATGCCTTTCGATCCGTCGAAGAACCTTACGAACTACCTTATGGCGCTGGAGATACTGGTCGTATCGTTCATACCTTGCTCGTTCAGATCGATAGCGATGCAGGGGATCGTGTGCAGCATAGTGATGTACTTCTGCGACCAGTACGTCGATTTGCAGCGCAGGATCAAGGTGTTGGAGTATTCCTCTATCAATGAGGGACGAATGAGGAGCGAGTTCGGAGAGATTCTGAAAAAGCATGTTCGTCTAATGAGGTAGTAATCAAATTAAGGTTTGAGTCGGTCTGAGTCGGAATAGCTTGAGACCGGGACAGAAAAAAAAATAATATCAGACTGTTCTCTCATATTTAATCTAAGTTCTTTTGATCGTCAAAAATATTTATGTACTTACTAATTGTTTTACCTGAAATTGCATATTATTTATTTAAAATATTTCATTTACAATAGCAAATACATTTGATAATACGCCAATTATTGTGAAGTATAAAGAAACGAAAGAGAACTTTTAAACTAATACAAATTCGATACTTCTGTTTTATGATTTCTTAATCAAATACTGTGCATTAAATTATATTTCAGACATTCAAAACTAATGTCCAATATATTTAAAGAGTTTTTCCTGGTACAGAATCTAGCTGTCTCAGTAGAGATGTGCTTAAATGCGATGATGGTAACGATGGTAAGGACGTAATATTTTATATAAGTAATAATTTAATTCAATGGAAGTTTAATATCTGCTATTACTTGTAACAGGTTGGACGTGAGCAGAAGACTCTTTTGGCTAGTTTTATAGCATTTCTAGCAATAGCCCTGCTAAATGCTTATATTTACTGCTGCTTGGGTAATGAAATGATAGTTCAGGTAGGTTATTATTGTTCTCGCATAAACGTAGCGTTTGACTTTTCATTTATCTTCTCTTGAAGAGTCAAGGTCATCCTAAATAGCATTTCCTCCAACGCTCAAATTTGAAGCATGTATCGTGAATTTCATTTCAAAATTCATAAAAAGCACACACACAGTTTTTGTAATTCAATCCTTTATCAAGCCTGTACAATTTGATAATCAGAGTATGATTTGAATCTATGGGGTTTGATGGTGAAACGGTGAAAAGAAAACCAAGGAAGTTGTCGTAAAGATGTGTATGTAGGTTGAGAGGGTTTCAGAGGAACGAACTTATTTATGCATGTCATGTTGGCTCAATGCGAAAACGACTAAAATCTTCGATTCATGCGAATGGCGGATATACTCTTGTGTATGTGGTCTTACACAATGTGTCAAAATATATATAGTATATACTATAAAGAAACATACGTGTAAATACACTAAAGACACGTTATTTAGGTAAATAAAACTTGTTCTAACTCTATAAAATCTTTTAAATAAGACATCGTGCGCGAACCAGAACTATATTCATTATGAAAATAGTAATCTTAGGCATGAAGAGGGACCGGTCGCCTTTCAGCGGCGATTGCTTTTTTATTGTACTAAATATTTTTTTATACTGTTACGTATTTTATTCCTAGAGCGAAGGCATAGCGATGGCCGCGTACGGGACTTCATGGACATCCTGGCCCCTTGATATGCAGAAGAACTTGCTAATAGTTATAAGGGTTGCTCAAAAGCCACTCACCCTCAGTGCAGGTGGAGTAGTCATAATGTCCATGCGGGCGTATAGCCAGGTGAAGTTAAATTAATCTATTCTTTTCTTACATTTGAAATATAAATGTTCCTTGCTTACAACCTCTAAAAATTTAATTATTAAAAAGTAAATTTATTATTTAATTATTATGCCCGTCGTTGTTCACATGATATAATACGAATATACTGAAATATTAATTACATGAGGAGATAATAAATATTTCTGGACATGTTTTTACGCAACGCTATCTATTCCCACTTTAAATTAAGCTTATACTATGGATACTACGTAACTGATGAACATACGTATTTTTCGTCGGCGTGGCAATAAGCCATATTATAGCTTAGTGATTAAAGCGTCTTGACGCGATTCCGGAAGACGCGGATCCGATGCCCGCGGCAGCGATATATATTTTTTACATTTGAAGTGCACAAATTAGCACTATAAAACTTAACATTAAATGTATATTTATTTAAGATCTTTTTATTGTTTTTAGGCGTTATACAATGGATACTCAATATTTGCTGTTTTAAATGATGCTGTGGACTAGAATTAAACATTTAAATTTTGGGTTTTTAATTTTACATTAATAAGTTTATATTAATAAATGCGTAATGATTAAGTTTTTCCATTTTTATTATACTGCCTAAATAAATTGCTATCTAACAAGCTGGCCTTCCAAATGATGTCCTGTTTTTCTTCGATAAGCTCGAAGGCTTAGGCTCGTCTTCGTTCAACACTCTTTTCACCGTGATTCTGCTTATATTTTTTTTTACTATCGACGATATTGGAAAAAGAAAATCAATTATTTAGACTTTCCCTCTTCCTGACCACTTCAGCTCCGCTGTTGTTGAGTTTTGTTGACGAATGTCGGCGCGTAATGGACAATGGACTTGTGACACCACTCAAATAACTGTAGCTGACGTCTAGCTCGGCACCATATATTAGTATTTTATCTTTGCTCAGTACATTGATGGGACTCAATTTGATATTATCATATTAAACTGACAAAACATTTCACTGTAAATATGTATTATTATAGACATTTCACTGTAATAACGAAATTTATATGGAAGTGGGTGCGTCCCACGAAGCACTCACAATAATCAAGCTTACGCGATTTTTCCCATTCCACTTACGAGTTTTCCCAGCGTTACAATCAAAAACTCAAAATGAACGGAATAGGGAGCTTCTAATGTTTGAAAATTTATGTATGAGTACATTACAAATGACGAGCCCGAAAATAAGGCAGAGAAGCTTGGAGTGGTTCCGTTAAGATTTATAAGCTGTAATCGATAATAATTTTTAATTAATAAAGATGGGGTATGTTGTTTATCAGTTAGGTACTATTATTGTAAACTGCTGTACGTTATCCTGTTATATTACTGATTTATGTAAGATGGATTAAGTAATAGGGCTGTCATTTTAGCGCTTTTGAGGCTAGCGTTTTTTGTTTGCTTGTTTGAAGTTTTAGCGGTTTTTAGAATTTAAATATAGTACAGTTTATCAACCTTTTTGGCGAAAAATGAAATGGCTAAAACTTATTAGAAACATTATTAAAGTAATATTAGTATTAGCAATTATTATTATCCATAGATATATCAATAAATAAGTGATAGTCTATTAATTAATATGTGAAGATAATCTAGTATCCTATTAAGATTGCTAAAAATCATAATATTTCATACTTATTATAAATCATAGAGTTACCTAAGATGATAAACCATAATTTATAAAAAATATCTGGTAGGTTAAACAACATCGTACGGTGTAACAATTTTAAAAGAAAATTAACCAACACCAGCAAGCATGATAGTTTATTGTCCTACGCAATCACCGCCTAGTGCCATCGCAATGTAACACTTAATGAAACGGCAGAATGGCAATGAAATCGTCTACAGTTTGTTATTGATAACAATTTATTGAAATCTTCATTAACGTGTTGTAGAGTGCGCAAGAATAACACCGAGAAAGTCATTGGGTACTATAGTACCAAGAAAATAACAGTATGTACATCGTCACTAGGGAACCATGGTACCTACGCGAGATAGTGTATATGGGCGCAAATTTATATATAATGATTATATTGTGACAAAATATTAATTATATTTAAGATTGATGTTTATGTTTTGTGATGTTTATGTGTGTGTGTTTTATTGTAATGGAGTCTGGACGCGATATTTACGGCCTATCCCCGACATGTACGTTAACCAAATTCAGTATATCATCAACTAGCACGTTTTGTTCTTCTGTTTTTTGTGCTTCTTTTTTTGTGCCTGTGGTTACATTATTAAATTCAACAATATTATAATAATGATCAACTCTGTGCAAAAATGGCCTAGTATAGTACTCGATATCCGGCCATAAAATGAAAAAAAAAAAAAAAAAAAAAAAAAGCTTTGTGCATAATAATGACATTTTCCTTTGACAGTTGACATTGACAAGAGTAAAATTAGGCTTACTATTTGTGTTATTGATATTTTATCTAGGTGTTATTACTTTTGATCGCGATCGGTCAACAAGAATCTTATTTAGCAAGAACAGAAAATAATAATAAATTATGAAGTTGAATTTAAAAACTGATATAAATCCTTCGGAGGTTTACCAGACACTGTTTGCAAAACTAGAAGATCCAGACATTACTTACCAAAATTTTGTCAAGAACTTGGCAAAGTACCACTTTCAAGTAAAAGCTATTATTGAGGTATTTATACTGGATTATAATTATAACGTTGAAAAATATAAATACTTCTATTTGCCTTAAAAATACATTTTGTACGACATACAATGACAAACAAGACTGAGTTATTTTACAGGATATATTAGAATGCAAAGATTCCATGGAAAGGTTAAATGCCTTAAATGAAATTGGCAGGGCTATGTTAACAAAGCTCAGGGAAGAATTAGACAATTTGGATTTGTACGGAAGAGAAAGTGGTGATCAAAAATATGTTATTGAATTGGATGCCCAAAGGCAATTGCTGGCTGGGTAAGAAAACTTGTTGTTGAGTTACAATTTACTCAAGTTTTAAGCTAAGACAAGTAATATAATCATCTTATTTTTTAGGCTTTTAAGAGAATTTAAAGATGCTAATATAAGCTCCTTATTCACCATTGAAAAAGCTCAAAGAGACGAATTATTAAAATCTAAGATGGAAGGTGAAGACCCTGTTGTTCGAAACCGTAGAAAACAGATGGATAAAGATGGAATGTTGAAAATGACAACAGGTATGTGTATTACACATGAAAAACTCATGATAAAACATAATTCATAAGTTTTCATAGAAACAGAAACCCTATAAAATCATTCAGCAAAATATCTGGATTTTTCTTCTACTTAATTATTATGTGAGGACATCTTCTTGATAACAGCATATTATGAGACTGGTTGGTATGATGAATCACGCTGCCCCTCTTTATATAAATTTACTTCAACTAATGTTATGGATTTTAGTTATTACACTATTAAAGCTTCATAAAACACAGAATTTTAAAATAGCTAGATCCCACAGCTTGTTTGCCCAATTACTTACACAACATGTGGGGGTTAGATATGCATTGTCAATCTTTAAAAAAGTGGGACTTGGGTACCTCATTCATAGAAAGTATACTAGTAACTATAGTTGTATACTTCAAGCTAGACTTCTGTGAGGCTGTGGTATATCCCTGGATAAGGCCTCCTATATCTATAAAAGCATAAGGAACTACTAGAACGAAATTGTAAATTAATGTTGTCTTCTAATGGATTATGCCAATATTATGTTACCCAGCTTTTGTAGTTATGTATGTTGTTATTATTTATAGTCTAGTGTATATTATAATCACAAGATTTTATTACTGTTCATTAAATTTGTGAGTTATATTTAATCCTGCGGGTTATAAAAACATGGTTATATATACCTAATTAAGTAGTTCATATTAAATTAATACAAATTACTTAATTAGATAACATTTACCATTTAATATGATTTGAATATATAGCTTGGTTGTCATTAAGTGCTTCAACTCTTCAGGCATTTCTTCCAACTTGATCTTCAAATGTATTTATTACAATAAAACATGGTCATTACATTTTTGTTAATAATTTTTTTTCAATCTAATACATGGTTTTAAATTATCCATAACATATAAACAAAATTGCCAATTATACCTTTTTATAACATAATTGTAAATAAATAGTTTTATACATATTGCAATTAAGATATGCACATTGATTTTGATATTGTAAAAATGCAACATTGAGATAAAAGTTATGTTTTATTTTCCCTGGTCAGGTGTTACAGAACAACTGCTCTCTATAAGTCGACAATTAGCAGACACTACACAAAGGAGTCAAGTTACCCTTGACAGCTTAGTATCTTCTAGTTCTACTGTACATGTGAGTGTTGAAAGATTTTTGTTTTCTTATTGTAAATTTATTCAGATCTCTTAATATTTAATAAGCTAAAATAATCTTAATATAGCTATAATCTGAGTGTTTTCATTATGTTTATCATTTAAAAACTCTATAAATCCCTTTGATTCAAAAATTCCAAAGCAGTTACATTTACACAAAAACAATAGAAAAGCATGATGCTTATTGACATCATCTGATGAAGTCACCAATGAGCTGTTAATAATATCTTGTTAATATCTTGCTAAGTAAAATTAATAATCTTGCTAAGTAAAATTAAGTTACATTTATATGTGCCGCAAAGACAGTTAAATCCTAACTTTGATATATCTTCAAAGGAATATTCGTTTTGAATAAATCTGTTAGTTTAGTTACTTTTTTTTTACTTGATGATTAGATGGCGTACATGTTCAACTGCTATTACATTGCTTAGCTGTAGTTTGCTTTGCTAAATTATCTGGCACCCCATTCTAGGTGGGATAAAAGCAGGGGAATGTTTTGTTACTTGGTCATGTTCAAACATATCGTTCATCTTCATCACATTCATGGATCTGCAACATTTTTAACGAGTCGAGCACAACTTTGTAATATAAAAGTTTGACAGCCACCCTTGAAATTTTATGTTTAAATGTAACATTTATAATACTTTAATATCATAGTAAGAATGTTTTAAAACATTGGTACATATTTATAATAATTCAAACTGAAAGCGAAGTTTGCATTGTTAAAATTGCAGATTATAAGCTTATTCAGCTTAACTTGGCATAAAACAGGAATCTCAAAGTTTTAAAGCATTATAACGTTGTCTCACGACAAGACTACTTTCGACTTACTATTCACATTTTTCCTAATTTTTATTTTATGTATTTATTTCAGGGTACGCAATCAGAGCTAGAGAACACGGCTGGTACGATTTCTCAATCGAGTAAGCTTTTAAACAAATACGGTCGGCGGGAGTTCACAGACAAAGTGATAATGTTCTTTGCTTTTATGTTCTTTTTGGCTGTTTGCTTGTATATAGTTCAAAAGAGATTGTTCTAATTTATTTAATATATATTTTTTTTACATTTATAAATAGTAAATTATCATATTATAATGTATGTAATTATTAAGAATCAATTTAACCCATATTAAAGTGTTATTGTCAGACGTGTTGGATTTTAATTTTAATTTCTACAGATAATCTATTTATATTACAATATGTGATTAACCCTATTAAGTAAAATGGTTACCGCCATTTCTACTCCACCTGAGGTTGCAAATGCTTTGTCATTCCTTAATAAATTGGGTACCGATTACTTAACTCGCAAGAGTATAAGACTCACTTCATCTCGCTTTTTCATCACATTGCAACGTTCTGCAAGGCTCATGGTAATAAAAATAATAATAAAATAAGTAAAGGTCCTATTTATTTATGTATATGTACAATTTTATATCTATACATATGTTTATTTTTATTCATAAACACAACCAGACCAGAAAACAAGTAAATAATGATCAAATTAATAATTATATGATCACATGATGAAATATTAAAATTTGTACAAAGAATGGACGAAAAGTTCTTCGCCGCTGGAGGAATCGAACGTCTTCCGGATTCGCCCCAGGAGGCTTTAACCACTAAGCTAAACAGGTGATTGTACATACATTGACGAAACTGAACGTGTTTGACCTACATTGTTTTTTCGCATTCTAAGCAACGTTTAGCGCATTTATTGTTACATTCTTTACAGCACAATGATATTATACAAGGTAGCTTTTCTAAGTGTATCCATTTTTTTATTAAATTCTATATATAAATAATAGAAGTAACAGCCTATACATGTCCCACTGCTGGGCAAAGGCCTCCTCTATACAGAGGGTATCAGGGCATAGTCCACCACGCGGCCCCACTACGGATTGGCGGACTTCACATATCTTCGAAATTTTTTTTTGTTATTATTTCGAAATGCAGGTTTCATCACGATGTTTTCCTTCACCGCGGAGCACGTGATAAGTCAGCACTTAAAGTTAAAAACTTCATTGGTGCCGGCACTGGGGATTGAACTCAGGCTGCTCGAGTATATTGAATTAAAGGCGAGCGCCCGGAATAATTAATGTTATATAAAAATGATGAATATTTAAAATCACTCGTAAGTAATTGATTACATTCATTTGAACTTATCTCAAAAAGTGCGTGATTTATACGCAACACAATTATTTTACGCGCGATCACAGTACAATTTAGGTATTTATGAATGACTACCGCATTGTCAAAACTTTGTTTTTTATTTCAATAAACGACTATACTACCGCGTCTGAACCTCCTGTGTAAATTTGGGCACTTCTCAAAAAATCTTCCTGTATACAAATATGGTGAGGGAGATATGACATTAGCCACCGAAACTAACGCACTCAAATTACGCCAATGTGTATAATTCGAATGCAATTCTATGGACTGCTATCTCTTTCCGTATGATACAACGGAAACATTTCTTAAGGGCGTGTTTGCGAAATCTCGCGGAATCTGCAAAAATAGGGAGTTTTCAGGTACATTTTGCGGCAAAACGAAACGAATATAATGTAAGTAATAATTATCACATATAGATCCCTCCTTCATCTTCAAATGGTAGATAGTTTTTAATCGAAAATTTTGGTTTATAATATTGTAAATGAGAATTTTCGTGACCACTTCACTCAAAATGGACGATATCCTGTTGGGTTTAGGAACATTTTTCTCTTATTTAATAACATATTTTTTTTATTTAAAAATATTTTATGTAAGCACACATGTTCAACTCAAAAAGGTAGCTACATTACGTATCAAAATTGTTGAAATTAGTTTCAGAAAAAAATAAAGATTAAAATCTATTTCTTTCACATTTATATCTTACGCGTGAATCTTAAGTGATTGACATAAAGGTTATTTTACTGGTCACTTTTTTGATTTATTCCACAAAAATATTTAAAGAAATATTAGTCGGCGCTCGGCTGCCGTCATGAGTGGTCACTATGTCGCTTATAAACAGCAGCTCGTGAGGAAAAAGATCGCTGTACGAATACAAAATATTTGTCGTAACAAAGTTGATACTTTACACATCATGTTCGGACTTCGGACTACGAACGACAAAAGTAAACTATAATTCACACTGTCATATTTTTACTAGAAATTAGTAGGGGTTAAAAATTCATATTTCGTTACGGACTTGATGGAGTGACCTGAAGGTGTACTTCGAGAACTGCTACTGGAACTAACAGACGAGATGAGCTATGTGTGTCAAGTTTGGGCTTGTTTTGTTAGGTATGGTGAGATCTTGCCTTCTGATTTGTTGGAGTGACCTGAAGGTGTACTTTGAGAACTGCTACTGGAACTAACAGACGAGATGAGCTATGTGTGTCGAGTTTGGGCTTGTTTTGTTAGGTATGGTGAGACCTTGCCTTCTGATTTGTTGGAGTGACCTGAAGGTGTACTTTGAGAACTGCTACTGGAACTAACAGACGAGATGAGCTATGTGTGTCGAGTTTGGGCTTGTTTTGTTAGGTATGGTGAGACCTTGCCTTCTGATTTGTTGGAGTGACCTGAAGGTGTACTTTGAGAACTGCTACTGGAACTAACACAGACGAGATGAGCTATGTGTGTCGTCAGTTTGGGCTTGTTTTGTTAGGTATGGTGAGATCTTGCCTTCTGATTTGTTGGAGTGACCTGAAGGTGTACTTTGAGAACTGCTACTGGAACTAACAGACGAGATGAGCTATGTGTGTCGAGTTTGGGCTTGTTTTGTTAGGTATGGTGAGATCTTGCCTTCTGGATTTGTTGGAGTGACCTGAAGGTGTACTTTGAGAACTGCTACTGGAACTAACAGACGAGATGAGCTATGTGTGTCGAGTTTGGGCTTGTTTTGTTAGGTATGGTGAGATCTATTTAGATTTTAATTATGAGTTAATAGAGTATAAATAAAAGTCAAAGTAAATCACAAGTCAAAGTAATGAATTTTTAATATATACATTCTACATTACTTAGACATGATTAAATATTTTAAATGTCTAATTTGACAGTGTACAGATTTTATAATTTTCGTTTAAATTTAAATACTCTGGGAGGCCTATGAACCTATCTGGTATTTTATTATAAATTCTTATTTCCATGCAGTCAAATGTTGGCCAAAAGTACACCACACGTAGAAAAGTTGTATGGATAATTAAAAATACAAGTAATACAAAACAAATTTGCACACTTGCAAATTGTAAGATTAGGCATGTAAAAGGTCATTTTTTTGTATGTTTCAATGAATAGGTGTAATAAACATGTACTTCAAAAGTTTCGAACGACAGCTATGTGGCAAACTTTTTGTTTCACGTTTATGACCCCATTTATCGTTTATTGTTTTTTTCGTGTTTCGCACTGATCAACTTTTGATCATGGATTCTGCCTAAAATAATACTTAATTTAAAATAAGTAAGAACGTCTTTAAAATAGGCAAAAAACACGAAAAAAAAATAGTTATGTAAAAATGTAGTGGGTCTCAACTTAAATTATCAAAGACTTATTTTTATGGCACAGTTATCACATACAACATTTATACCTCTTATAACTCAATTGTTGTTTCAGATGCCAAAGCCTAAAACGATAAAATTTTAGCAGGCTACTACTTCGATATAGATAACAAAAATAATTAAATGATAGAGAACTATAAAGAAAAATCACAAAGATCCGACACAGAGCACCCAGACTTCGTGTGGTCTTCCCTATCCCTAGAGTGAACATCAAAAGGCGGAGCCAGAACCTCGTGTCGGAGGTATAAATTGGCCTCGCGGGCTTGCTCCACCCAGGATCGACATAGCGACAGTTCTGCGAAGAGCATGGAAGAGTCAAATTAAAAATGAAACAATACTTTTTTAAGCTATTGCACAGCTTTTATCGCGGGCTTTGAGCGCGGCGAACGAATCAATAAATTCCGTAACGAAAATAAAACCTAACACCACCCACTCCGCCTACCACGCAAGAGGAAAGATTTGATTGTTTTTATGCATTGAATAGGCTCCTAAACCACTGAACAGATTTGAAAATTTCTTTCACTGTCTCGAAGCTACATTATCCCCGGATGACGTAGGATATATTAAATTTTCAAAAAACTAGGAATCCTTACTAAAACTTGAATAATGTAAACCAAAGTGTACAAAAATTACCTAAAATAGTGTTTGCATCGCGTGCGCTGCTAAAACTATTGATAATTGTTTAAAATAATGTACTACGAATTTGCAGAACACATCATTATTTATAAAAAGTGTTGCGACAGTATATGTCTAACTATTATAGTTATGCCACAATAAGTATTCTTTTACTTTAAAATTTTGATTGAAATGCCGCCAAAAGGCTCTTTATTTGTATCTTGGTATTAATTCTTATAAAAATAAATTACTTTATATTTAAGACTGTTTCAATATCTTTATATAACTTTTTGAATGATTAAATTCGGACATTCCATTCGAAAGATATCACAAGTTTAAAAATGTTAGTATATTGTAATTTAACTATCCAGAGCTTAGTGACTGACTTAGTAGTTCTTATCATTTTTGTATATAATATAAATTAATTATATATTATTAATTATAATATATATTAATTATTATATTATTAAAATATTATTATTTATTAACATAAATATAAATATCAAAGAAAAAAATACTGCATAATTAAATAATTATAATCGCATAAGTTGATAAAAGATGCTATAGCTTTTAGATTGCTATAGCTTTACCCCAGCTGAGCCGAGTGCGACAGGTTTTTTTTATAAAAATGTTTTTTTTAATTTTTACTAGTTTGTTTCCTTCGTTTTCAAACATGTATAAAACAAGCTTCGTTTACTTCATAAAAATCAATTAAAACATAAAATTAAATTATATACATAATTAATTAAAAAGCAAATTATCAACAGCTACGAGCTTTTAAATGAAATTTAATAAATTATACCTAAATGTATAAAAAAATATTCAGTTTAAAAACTTTAACGTAAGCTTAAAAATAAATGACTTCAAATTAAATAAAAGTATCAAGTTGCGTCAGTTACATAAAGTTTCGCTGCTTCGCGCTTGTCGCTGTGTGCGTGAGCCGTGCACGTGTAGTAGTACGCCTCTGTACCTAAAATTGAAGCGCGTGAATTCGTAAACGCGTCCTTAACGCTGTGCAGTATGTGCGTAATCCTACTAATATTATAAATATGAATATAAGTTTGTTATGCTTTCACGCCAAAATTACTCAACCGATTATCATGAAACTTTATACACATATTCTTAGAGGTATTAAAAAGGACATAGGATTCTTTTTTAACCGAAGGAAGTTATCAATTCGGATGTTAATATATTTTTTATGTTTGTTGGGGCATAACTCCGTCCTATATAGACGGATTCGCAAAATTAGTTTTTGTTTGAAAGGGTTTTATTCCGAAATGGTCCCATTTAAATTTCATATAGATCTGATGATGAGTTTCGGAGATAGACAACGGAACTCTTCAAAAAAATGACACGAAATCAAGCGCGATTGCTGCTTTCGCATTAATATGCATTGTTTTGCGCAATCACATAACATAACATCACGTCTGTACACTCGAAAAGGTTAAGCATATGTATTTACTACAGCTGAAAACGCGAAACAGCGTAGGTATTTACTGTTTTCGCGTTCTCAGCTATCATGTTTGCATGGTAAGCGTCTACTTTTCTGACAGTTGGATAAAAACTGCAACTTTACAGTATTCCTTGAAGTTCGCAAAGCAATCCAAGTAAGCGCCAATCGCGTTGAGAATCCGCCAACGCGATTGGTAATATTTGTAAATAAATGTATAGCCAAACGAAATTTTCGTCATTTAAACTACGTACGTATACATTTACATATAGGATTTTTTGTAACAATCTATTTTCGCGCTAGTCAGGCCGCTCATCTGAAATGCTTAGAGATTTTTTTCCTTATTTTTTTTAATGCTAAGCTATTAGCTTCGGCGTAAGGGTTCGTGGGTTCGATTCCCACACGGAACAGTATTGCTTAGCTTCTATTTATATTGTGTGAACCACAGATAATTTCTCGGATCTGGGTGTTTGTTTCCCAAGAAGGGTTGACGTCAAGCAGGTGGTACAAAACATAGCCAAAACCGCTTACAAAATTATTCACATCTTGTGTGAATAATCTTGTAACCGGTCAAAATTTGTCACAAGGATGATGATGATTTGCTTTTAATCGTTTTCCCTTTCCAGTCCCGGTTTCAGTTTTAGGGCGTTTTCTCATACGAGCAGCGTCTATGCTAGGCCTACCCATATTTTATAAAACCTATGTATTAAATGACTAAAAAAAAGAAAAGTTTTTTAACAAAACAGAAGAAAAAAGATACGATTTCAAAAATCTCTATTAGCAATAAAAAGTTTATAATCATACTAAAAATAATATAATCAATTTTTTAAAATTTAATCTAACCTACCTAACCTCTAATAAAATTTAATAATTTTTGAAGTCGGTGCCATTGTTAACTCACCTTACTAAAAATAGAAAGAACCTAAGCGACAATGAATACTGCTGTTATCCAATAAATAGTTTAATAGAACTATCTTTTAACCTATTTAAATATGATTATATATGTAATTAATTATGTATCGAATCCACCTAAATTGTGTAACAAAGTTATGAGAATGATTTTATGCTCAAACAGTTTTGATAAAAAAAGACATTTATGTAAGGGCTTCATCGCGAGCGAAGCCGCGAGTAAGAGCTAGTCTGTATCTAAAAAAAAAATCTGTATGTATATATAATTTCAAATATCGATAATTAGATTGAGAGATGTCGCCATTTTTATTTGAAAATAAAGTTTATAATATACAGCGTGTCTTTATCTACTATCGCGAAAATAAATGAACACACGTATAGGGAATAACTTTTTAAAATTTTATTAAAGATTTACATTCTTTAAACATCAATATTTACCGAGTTATCAAATTTTTCAAAACAAAGAATTTTAGAACGCACTTACGTATAAAACTGTAATGTAAAGTTCATTTGTAAAGGTTACAAAGCATATGAATGGGTTGAATTAATTTAAAAGAGACAAAAAATACTGTTAGAAGGAGAGGCTTGTAATGCGACGCTGTGGCAACGAATGAAAAAGTCAGTTGTAGTTGTATAGGATGTTACAAATTTTGTTTCTTTTTTACATAATTAGTTTGTTTGAAAAATATTTTTTTTAATTATGTTTTTTTAACGTTAATATTTTTTTATGATTATTGGCAAGTAGCGTTAGACGTGTTTTCATTTATTGTCGCGGTGGTAAAGATACGCTGAATAGTGCTTGTCTCTGTGTTTAATATGATACATTAAAAGTTGGAGAAAATAAAAAACCGCCAAGAGCGAGTCGCTCACGCACCATTATTTATAAGGGTTCCGTACCATTATTTATAAAAACGGCAAAAAAATCATGTCCGTTGTATGAGGTCCCCACTTAAAATTTTTTGATTCTGATTTTTAGTATTTGTTTTTATAGCGGCAACAGAAATACATAATTTGTGATAGTTTCAACTGCCTAACTATCGCGGTTCACGAGATACTGCCTGGTGACAGAAGGACAGACAGACAAACAGCGAAGTTTTAGTAATTGGGTCCCATTTTACCTTTTGGGTACAGAACCCTAAAAATGAACGAAAAGCATTTCACCGCTGCGGAAATCGGCAAATTTAAAACACCAAAGACGTCCTAACAGCCGTATCCTACTAGCGCATTATAATAGCAAAATACATACAAAATTAAAAATATTGTAGTCTTTTCGCGATTTGTTAACCTTCTCCTCCTGCTTTTTTACAATTTATTCATAACTAGCTTTTCGCCCGCGGCTTCGCTCGCGTTGAAGCCCATAAATAAATAACGTTCTTGAATCTTTCAACCTTTCACAACACTTTTTTCCAACTAAAAATAGCCTTTGTCTATCTCAGGTTCTAGACTATCTGTGTACCAAATTTCATTTAAATCGGTTCAGTAGTGTTAGCGTGAAAGCGAGACAGACACACAGAGTTACTTTCGGATTTATAATATTAGTATGGATTAGTTACGTAGCATTACAACATTATTATTATTATTTGATATCTTCATCACGGACTAGAAAAATAACCATCATGTTTCTGTCATTGATCCTCATTAAAACCCGTGGAAGAAATATAATATGGTTTCAGTAAACACCACTTACGCTTAGAGTATATGCGGTGGTAGGGCCATGCAGCAGCCTCGGGTGTTAACGAAAATGGGCAGGCTCGTCCGGGTAAGTACCACGACCTCACAGAAGACCTGCGTAAAGTGGAAGTATAATACTTTCGCGTTTCGTTCTGCAACCATCGGGTGTAGCAGATGCCTATGGGCGGCGGTATTCACATTACATCAGGTGATCCGTCGCCTCGCTTGACAACTGTTCACATAAAAAAAAATACCATGGTCACATACTAAATACGATGGAAATAACGAAATAATACATTCGCAGAAATTCAGTTACACGGGATAGCTCTATTTTTCTCATAATCTAACATATAGGCTTATCAAATGTGAGACGATCACTTTTGTACGTTATACTAAAAACGAAAGCCCATTCAGGTGCTCATCACTTCCATACTAACTGCGTATTGACTTTTGAACACGACTCAACGGTCCAACCACTAGGTCACCAGTCACTTTAAAAATGCGACATGCACACTACCCAAATCTGCGCTCACTACAAATGTGTTTAATAATTATTTTGACCATAGCTCGTCGAAATTTGTATTATTATAGACTGATATATAATATTATATGACGAAATGGTCTATCACTGCCCAGAATGAACTTTAGGATTGATTTCCCCGTCGTAAAACACAAATTCTTTACAGATTCTTTATTACACGATGTATAAATTACTCACAATCTAATGCGTAAAATAGCTTTATTTAACATGTTTGTTTTGTATTAATGCAAGTGTTAGATCTACAATGATACTGACAATGGTCATATTAATGTTAACAAAATTAGTGTTAACAAAATGTATAAATCATCAAGATTAAACTGTAATTCATTTAAGTAATTAGTTCCATAACAACCGTAGCTGCACAGTCGCAATGAACCGTAGTCAAAACAGCACAGTTTAATTCTGTCCTTAGGCAGAAAACTTCGCTAGGCTCGCTAGTCAGTAGTCAGTTTGATATAGTGTTCCGAGCTTGACCGACGTACTCGTGCGAGCCGGTTCTCGTGCGTTCACCCCGCGATCGAGATGACACGACTGCACTCATTTGTCCTAGTAACATTTATAATGATAATAATTTTTCACAATGCGGCCGCCTATAGCATTCTCGCAATCGTCTCTCTGCCACTGCGAAGCCACTACATGGCTTTTCAGAGGCTCTTCCGCGAACTGGCAATCAGAGGTCACTCGGTTACTGTAATAAACAACTACCCCGACCGCGAACCCGTGCAAAACTTAGAGTTCATCGACCTCCAAGCGGACGGGACATTCACAAACTATACTCCGCCGTTATTCACGTATGAAACAATCGACTCGAGGTACATCCATTTGCGAAATTTACATAATCACATCGAAGTGGGCCCCAACGTCGCGATGTTCGATTGCGAAAATCTCCTTACGAACGTAAACGCCGTGGAGCATTTAGCGCGGGGTAGGAAGTACGACGTAATATTCGTGGAACAGTTCGCCAGTGATTGCGGTTTAGCTTACGCGAGTGCTTTGTATGACGCACCTATTATAGGGATAACTTCCCACGTGCTGCTGCCTTGGGCTTACCCGAGGCTAGGGCTGCCGTTCGACTTTTCCTCGGATGCGTTTTACTTCTCCTGCGCCGGGCCCAACCCTGGGTTTTATCACAAACTCGAGGCATTCCTGATGAACATCTATTCAATGTTTGGTAAATGGGCTTCGCATAGAAGCGTATACGATGTGTTCAAACGACATTTGCCTGGCATCAATTTGGATATAGAGAAAGCCGCTAAAGAGAGGATGAAAATGGTGTTCTCTTACCAACATTTCTCGGTGACTGGGGCCAGGCTGGCAGCACCGCAGCTTCTGGAGATTGGAGGGATTCACATCTCCAAACCGAAGCCTGTACCAAAGGTATGTTGAATTAAAATAAAAACAAATGTCGAATACGAACTGCCCGATGCATGTAAAGTAAGTACCTAGCTTACTAATGAAACTATTCGAACATCATAATAAACGAATATGAAGGTAAGAAAATTGTAAATGATTCAGACCATTAGACTGCAATGATGAAATTTTAGTGGTTTAGGGTTAGATTTATTGCTAAACACCGTGAAACTTTCTCTGTTTATTACAGAAGTCAATTGAGTAATAAAGAAATTGAGGTATTGTTGATTAATATCAGAAACATATGACGGTATCATAACAAAAGGCAGTGACATGTATCTGTAACAAAAATCACAATAGGTTATTTTATACTCCTTACATTATGATTGAATATGAATTTATAATAGAAAACAACTTAAACAATTAAACAATTAAAAAAACAACAGGCACTAATTTCCGTCACTGAAGAAATCAGGTGGAAAGTTAAACTGTTTTTTGATTTTGTTTAGCCTGAGGTTACTTTCATTCGTGTCATGCTTTTTTTATATCTTATCAGTAAAAGTATCAGCCTAGACACGTCCCACTGCTGGGCAAAGGCCTCCTCTATACAGAGGGTATCAGGGCATAGTCCACCACGCGGCCCCACTGCGGATTGGTGGACTTCACATATCTTCGAAATATTTATTTTTTGTTATTATTTCGAAAATATGCAGGTTTCCTCATGATGTTTTCCTTCACCGCTGAACACGTGATAATTCAGCACTTAAAATTTGACAATTTCATTGGTGCCGGCACCGGGGATTGAACTCAGGTTGCTCCAGTATATTGAATTAAAGGCGAGCGCCCGGACACTGAGCTATCACGGCTCTTATCAGTATTTTCACTGTTATACTAAACTTATAACTGTTGCGGAGCCCACAGGTAGTGCAATATCAAATAATTAGATAAAGTAATTAGGTAAGATTTTAACAGGACATAGAAAAATTCCTGGCGAATTCAACTAACGGGGCGATCTACGTTAGTTTCGGCTCGAATCTTGTTGCGAGCACGATGACACCGGGAAAGTTGCAGCAATTCTTGGACGCGTTTAAGAGGATACCGCAGAAAGTGCTATGGAAATTGGAGAACGTCAGTCTGCCAGGCGGGAATGATAACGTGTATACAAGCAGCTGGATGCCCCAATTAGATGTCTTATGTAAGTGCCAGTTATGTTGAGTTCGCTCGTCGTTTTACAAACATTCCTCGTTCATCGCAAATAATTTTCATTCGATTCTGAACTATTGGCTAGTTTTTATTGTCTTGATTTTATTTCTTTAACATGTCTACCCAATGTTTTAAGAATGAAAATAAAAAATTATGTTAAGTAGATACGCAATGAAAATTGGAATTTTAATTCATTTCAGAATATTTTTGTATTTGTTACTAAATATTATGTCTAACTCCCCACGAGTTTCAGGCTAACGTACGAGTGCAGCGATAGATAAACCTTTAATAGAGTAAGGACCGAAAGCAATAGCATCAGTTGTGAAGGACATCATACTTAAAGGCACCAAACGCGTTTTCCATTGCAAAATACGAAAGTTTACTTATTTATTTTTAATGATGTATCAATTGTTATAATTATTTAGGATATTAGTACAAAATCGAAATAATTGAGATATAATTTATATGACGGTGATAACCGCCAGAAATATGCGGGCTAGGTAGGTTATTCTATATAGGTGTCATTAACAATTTTAACTAATGGCTTAAGCATTGTACCCGTACTTGTAAATCATGCTCACTCGGACGATTCAACTCTTGGCGGTGTCAAGGCAACTCGATTCCTTGCGCAACATTCAAGCTTTGATTCTATATACCTACGTCTAGATGCTGCTTCGTTTTATATCGGATGTACAGCACTGTTTCGTATTCTTATGTTCCTAAAGATTGTTTTACGCTTACGAATGTCAATTTTTAGTAACGTACTTTATGAAAGATTCAGTGATGAACGCTTAAATCATAAGTTTTAATATAAATAAACATTCAATTATGATGACCTTAATATACATAAATAAATATGTGAATAGAGATTATAATTTTAACTTTACAGTGACAATGTAAGCGATCCAGTAAGCAATGATAATAGCGTATTATATAAACACGGGAGTTCTTCCAGATATTGTTGCGGCAAAAAACATGTCTGTTGTATTGGAGCCACACTTAAATGTTTTTGATTCTGTTTTTTATTATTTGTTATTATACCAGCAAGAGAAATACAGCATCTGTGAAGATTTCAACTGTTAGACAGTTATCACGATTCATGAGATACAGCTTGGTGACAGACAGATAGTGGAGTCTTAGTAATGGGGTTCCGTTTTACCCTTGGGTACGGAACCATAAAGACAGGGTGATATTTTTAACAGGTCACGAGAAGGTCCTCGGGTTTGTATCCCACGGTGGCATGCTGAGTTTATCAGAAGCAGCACATTGCGGGAAACCGTTACTCGCTATGCCCTTCTTCGGGGATCAGTTCTCTAACGCTGCCGCAGTACGCGCCTCTGGACTCGGAAGTACCATGTTCTTTCAGAATCTTAACGCTGATAACTTGGCCGAAGAAATAGGGAAGCTGACATCGTTCGGGTAAGAAATATATCGATATTTTAAATGCGAAAGGTTTTCTGTTGATATGTTTGTTCTTCCTTCACCCAACCTGAATGGATCCGTAGAAATCCTGGGAGGAGCTACCAATACTGGATCCGCATGCTGGATTCACATGCTTGATGTAGGTACTAGACCACAATGCAACAAGTGCAATGTTTTCGAGCGGGACTTTATTTTTTCAACAGTCATCTAGTTCTAGATGCTGTTCCGAATCGAATGACACCTCGTCATATTTTTCCGAGACTGCTGAAATAAGTTGAACAAAAAAACAAGTGCTTTTTTATTACTAGGTTATTAGCCTAAGATACTCGTTTGACATCGCTGCTATTAAGCGAGCAGACGGATTTAATACTCGTATCACCTGAAGTTAAATGATTACCGTCGCCCATGTCCATAATAATTAACTAAAAATTCAGAGATTATTTTCTGTCGACATTGTGATTTTTTATGTTTTATCTTTATTAAATATATAAATATTAATAAATGTTTAACATTTATTTTTCAGGATGCAGCAAAGTGCAAAAAGAGTATCTAAATTATGGCACGATAGACCGCAAACAGTTTTGGACAGCGCCATCTATTGGACAGAGTACGTAGCTCGTCACCAAACGTCGCCACCGTCTTTACCATCTAAAGAAAAAGCGTGGTTCGAGAAAATACTACTAGATGTCTATGTTGCACTTATAGCAATAACATCTTTAATTTTGATATTATGCTTTATTGTTTTTAAATTGTTAGAGCTAGTATTAGTTAAATTCGTAGGTAATTTTGTGTACCGAAAAGTCAAAAGTGAGTGAAAAGTAACCACCAAATTTATTATTTATTACATTTAGTAAAAATTTTAGTCGTAATAAACCTGTTAATATAGATAGATAACAATAAACAATAATGTTACACCCCAATATTTAGTTACGTAATGAACTACACAGATAATTTATATACAACATGATATATATTTATATTGAATGTAATTAGGGATACTCCAAGTATAACAATAATTTTGGTATTCTTTTATAACAGAGAATATAATAAAACAGTAACAATAATTTTGGTATATTGAATCAATTATGTTATTTAATTTAAATTATTAAGAATTAAAATTGTATGTTGAATGTCCCAAAGAAAGAGCTAAATTTGGTCGTTCTAGTCGGCGTCAAATGTCATCACGCTTATCCTTATGATTACTTGAAAGCGCAAGTTCTGAGAGTGAATTAACGATGAAGAATGCTGATTTTATAGGCTCATGACACGAATAATGACTGTAAGCGTATAAAACGTGTTACATCCAATCTTCTAATTGCTCCAGACCTTAACCTACATACGCAAAAACCCGCCTACGCGATTTGCGCTACTTTTACATCACGCAGTGGCAACACTGCTCGAAATTTCATAGATATTTAAAAAAAATTAAATGAACACAGAATTTTCCTTTACTCGTAAGCTTTAAAAACCTACCCATAGGTCTTATTATAAGGATTTTGAGACCTGCGGTCTTGACAATTGTTTAAAATAATTTTTGTCTTAGTTTCTTAGGTTTTGTAATAGTGTTCACCGTGTTCACATGTTTAATTGTTTTACTGATGAATGATTTAATTTTTCACTTGAATTTTAAATGTAAAGATATACATAAAAATACATAGTATGTCTGTAGGCCACAAATAAGTTCGAGTTGTTATAATAATGGAGAAGGAAGGTGCTTTAAACTGAGTTCGCTTAAACTATCCTAATGCTTTGCCTTAAAAACTTTTAATGTACGACGTTAATATTTCCAGAATGTATTCATACATGGCTGAGTATAGTCAGGAACGCAGCTAGAATTATTATAGATAAATGTAGATTTCCCAAGGAGTATTGACGTCAGGCAGGCGGCTGGTTGTAAAAACAGAGCCAAAACTGCTCACAATATGATTTACGTGTAGTGCCGACCCCTCCCATGTGGGATAGAAGATGATGATGAACAGATAAAAAAGTAGATAAATACAATATCAGGCAGTTGGTCTCGTTTCATTTTAAAGCACGAGCCTGTACATTATGTGCAAACGCGTTTAAGAGAGTTCACGATTCTGAGCTACCGCTTAGAGCTTTGCTTAACTTCTATTAGCTTTGAAAGCGTATATCTCAAAAGAGGGAGGTATTCATTTTTCTTATAAGGTATACGCTTTCAAAGCTATTATATATACTTCACACACTGAGGCTCTGAAAACTGTTTACTGCGGTAATGCCATGCAGCAGTGTCTGCTATCGCCTGAGATGTGGCACGGCCTTACAGACAACTGGAGTTCGTTTGGCGAGTAGGTGACTGAGGCCTATTGTCTGTCTTGGTAAAGCAACTGAAACACGTGCGTTTCATGCGCCGCATTTGTGTTGGAAAAATACCAGTATTAGACGCGCTGCGCTATCGACGATGTTTCAGTGCGTAGGGCTGTTAGCGAAATCATCTGGCGTGGATGCCGTTAGGACGCGTGACGCAACGTGACGCGACGTGCCAGGGGAAGGCCGCGGCGGCGACCCTGGCCGACGGAACACGCCGTCCCGCTACGCACGCACCACGCGGTGCGACACCCGCTCAATTGATTGTTATTGTCCGTTGCTGTTCGAACTCTTCCGTGTTTCGTTCGAATATTTGCGTGCACAGGGGCATATCAATTGGCGTGGCGCCTCGGCCGGTCAATGTTGCGCCCCTTAGCGGTGCATCCGTGCCGTACATATGCCAGACGGGAAACTGATGTCCCGGCTGACTTGTCACTTTGTTGTTTTAGAACATCAAGGTGAGACGTCGAGAAATGTTGCACGTATCTGGACTGCTGGAAGTCTCATCTCTATGGGAAAGTAGGTAATGTCAGTTGTCGCGGTATTTGCTTCCTGAGGCTCACGTGCGATTATTGAATAAGAGTAATGTAGTTTATTGTTTTTAGTTTAGATTCTAATATGTTTAGATATAGATAATATATGCTAGAAACAATATACTATCAGTTGTTCAATAATAAATAAAATAGTGATAAAGCAAATATTAAAAAAAAAATTTGATTGCCAACTCGTTGGCTCACGCGCGTTTGGTTGTTTACATATTTATGTTTCAGAAGTAACTATTTATGTGCCTGCTTTAGTCTCCAAGACACGTGGCTTATTTGCTTGAGTACCTTGGTACGCTATCATACATTCATAATGCCGAACGTCTTGTTTGTCTATTTGTCGAGGCGTCGACTTTGGACTGTGTATACTAATGGCATCAATAAGTATCACCAATATCATCAATGACTTATTATTACTACAACAGAGCAACAACTAAATATTAGAACATACGAGGTTCTTCCCAACGGTTTGTTTTCGTCTCGCTTGGTTCTTTTCTAAATAGAAGAACTTTGCATCAATCGGTTGAAAAAGTTCGTTTAAATTCAGTCAGGTTCAAGTTTGGAATTTGTAATGTTCGTACAAATAATATTTATATATGTCGGAGAAGCATTGTTCTCGTTGACATCGCTTCTACACATAGTTCCCCCGACGTATAGGTATATTATACATTTGTATATATTATAGGATGTATTTCGTATCTAAAAATGTCTCCAAAGCCAATTATTTGAGACTGTGTGTTCTTTTTGCGAGACTTTGTTTTCGTGAATTCACACATATGAAACCTCTCAGGCCACAGGTAATATTTCCTCGCGTAGGGAGTTTCAAACCTTCCGAATTTCAGACTCATAAAATTTTCGCGTTGAAAAGGTTGGGAGGCCAAGTTACGAAACGCATAAAAATGACACTTACATATAAAGTTGCAATTAATTATACCGTAGGCTGGATCTGAATCACATCTGAATTCAAACTCTTGTGGACTTAAGGCTTAAGTCCAATGAAATTACAGACAGACTACTGCGCTGTATCTACTTCTATGCAAGACGTTATGTCATCTTAGAAAGAAATTTAAACTTTGTCTTTAAATATGCAACGTCTTTTGATTATAAAGACTTCTAAAGTTTGTAATTTTTTAATGATTATAAAATATATAAAAAAATTATATAAAAAATATTATATAATATAAGCTTGAGCTGCAACCGTTCAAACGCTAACGAAATTCACGAGGCACAGCAATTTCTGATTTTGTAATAACCGCTGCTTGTTACAGTCTAGCGATTGCAGATTGATTTCAATATTAAACTGTTTCATACCGTGTGAAGTTTTTACACATTTTCCAATAAATTGATTTTTTTGGTAAGTATTAGTTTCCTTTAGTTTCCGGGTGTTTTTCGACGTAAAAAATAATTTATTCGGTAAAGAAAAATCATTAATAAAATACTCACCAAGCAGAATTTGGCGGTCGCTTATAGTTTTCGAGAAAAAAAATGTTAGAGAAATAAAATATTTGTTTGGTCGTAAACACCCGGAAAAAAATGGAAATGTTTACTATTTTTTTTTTCACGCTAGGTGAAGGAATAAGGGATTTACACGTTGTATGATATATAATTCAATGATATTATATAGAAATACGAGGTACATTTGTCACTAGCGCACTAAAACTGAGGCACTCAAATTAGAATTAATTATATTGCAATTCTATAGATTGCTATCTCTTACCCTATCATACCTTCTATAACATCTGTCACATTCACTTTTATATTGTCATCAAATTTTTACACCATGTAGTATGGGCATGAGTCATCTTTATCAAGTCATCATTGATTTAATTCACAGTTTAGGCTAACCGCTTTTCCGTTTTGCGCGATCCTTCGCCTTTATTTGAGAAGTTTCACTTCTATAACCTATATGATTCATGCGATTCATTTTTCCTTACGTCATTATTGACTTATGCACCTGAATTATTTACCCGTGCTTACGGGGGAAGAACGACGAGATGATACCTTGATTGTGTCCTGATATTACAGGTAAAAGCTATATTGCGATTTTATGGTAATTAAAAATGACAAAACTCATAATAAACACGGTTCAAATTCAAAATTTCACCAGTATCATTTTTACCTTATATGTGACATCCATTTTAAATATTTCTGTAATTAATTTTATTAATTCCTGATTCAATAATAGTTAAATACTAATTCTTTCCTTACAGGCGTAATTGATTTCCTAATCGATTTCTTATAGACCTCCGTGGTTTGAAATACTGCGAAGTGCTATTCAAATTCGTAGTTTCATCTACCAAATGTTTTGACTGTGATGCTACAATGTTCGGATCGTCGGGAGTTAGAGGGCACATAAAGCGCTTTAAAATCCGTAAAAAGCAATATGCAGTGCGCGGTAGATTGATATGAAATACCGATCGCTGTAGGCGTCGATCCGTTGGGGGATCGGACGCAAATAACAGATGGTGACACAAAGGTTCATACAACTCGTTGCACATGTCAATAATTCGAATCTAAAAAACGCGGCAAATTTCATAAATTTTTTTATTATTTTCATTAAGGGTGTCTAAATAATAGCTGATGCGTGGAAAAACAGAAATATACAGAAGTACACTGTAATTCTGTATGATTACGTAAGCTGTGTAAGCAATTAAAGAGTGTAAAAATAAAACTGGATAAGTAAGAACCTTCATTAAAAAGGAAATTTTATTAAGATTGTTATTTATAAGCGTTAGCCTTCCAGATTAGAGTAAAGAAAAAACCCAAGTGTAAAGACTGGAAATCCAACATTCTAAAATAAGAATAAATATCGGACAAGGATAATGTAAATAAATATGAAGAACAACGGCCATCCGAGGTTAAATATTGTTATCGGCGAGTTTCGGAGAAGCTTATCTTGTTTGGCGAAGTCTGTTGATAAGTCCGATCAAGGGCTCCATCTAAATGTATCGAAAGGCCACATGCGTAAAGCCCTATCTACATTTGAGTATTTCCTTCTTAGAAAAAGAATTTGGTGTGTACAATAAAATACGTTAATGTTTATATATATATATGTATATGTATATGTATATATATGTATATGTATATATATGTATGTATATGTATATATATATATATATATATATATATATATATATATATATATATATACCACCTTACTCACCAGACGAAACGCGAAAGTATTATACTTCCTCTTTACTGTGAACTTAGCCGACGGGACTGCATTGCTGCCGAGGCTGCTGCGTGGCTCTACCACCGTTAAAAATGGTTTAGATGATTAAGAATGGTTTAGATTCACATTTTTTTATTTTTTTTAAGTTATCAGATTTAAGTCATGTGTACAGGACGTCTGCCCAGTCCGCTAGTATTAAATATAAAACAAAAAACAAAGGAGTATTAAGAACGACGGTTCTAATTGTAAATACATAAATGAGAAATAATACGCGATGAAGAACTCCCTAGATCAGGAAAAAGTAACTAGATTTCCCGTTAATTTAAGGTATTAAGGAGACCATGTATTAGAATCAATGAGGTAGGATATTTTTTGAATTAGTTTTTTCATGTTCATTTTCATTTTAATACAAAAAAATACATACTGTTTATGTAAGCACATTCATTTTTTTTGCAAAAACACTAAAAATAGTAGATTGCAGAGTGTTGAAAGTTAAGTCTGTTAAGTTATACCAACTTTTCTAACGTAACTGAATAAGTTCGGTTCAACGTCGTAAAAGTAAGAATTCATCTTACTGATGGAGACATTTTGTGTAACAATGAAACGAAAATCAATGTTCTTTTTGAAAGTATGAGTTATATGACCCGAATGGCGTAGTGGGTAGTGTAGCTGCCTCCTGCGCCAGAGGGTGTGGGTTCGATCCATACTACTGGAATAATATTGTGTGATGTACCTGGGACGGGACTGCCCATTCGTGCAACAGCCGAGGCTGCTGCGTGGCCCTACCACCGTTAAAAATGGTTTAGATGGTTAAGAATGGTTTAGATTCACATTTTTTTATTTTTTTTAAGTTATCAGATTTAAGTCATGTGTACAGGACGTCTGCCCAGTCCGCTAGTATTAAATATAAAACAAAAAACAAAGGAGTATTAAGAACGACGGTTCTAATTGTAAATACATAAATGAGAAATAATACGCGATGAAGAACTCCCTAGATCAGGAAAAAGTAACTAGATTTCCCGTTAATTTAAGGTATTAAGGAGACCATGTATTAGAATCAATGAGGTAGGATATTTTTTGAATTAGTTTTTTCATGTTCATTTTCATTTTAATACAAAAAAATACATACTGTTTATGTAAGCACATTCATTTTTTTTTTTCAAAAACACTAAAAATAGTAGATTGTAGAGTGTTGAAAGTTAAGTCTGTTAAGTTATACCAACTTTTCTAACGTAACTGAATAAGTTCGGTTCAACGTCATAAAAGTAAGAATTCATCTTACTGGTGGAGACTTTTTGTGTAACAATGAAACGAAAATCAATGTTCTTTTTGAAAGTATGAGTTATATGACCCGAATGGCGTAGTGGGTAGTGTAGCTGCCTCCTGCGCCAGAGGGTGTGGGTTCGATCCATACTACTGGAATAATATTGTGTGATGTACCTGTGCATATAGTTTTTTTCTAGTGTCTGTGTGTTTATATATGTATAATATGTATTTATTTACAAAAGAAAAGTATGTTTAAGTATGTTTATCAGTTTTCTAATACCCATAGTACAAGCGTTGCTTAGTATGGGACTAGAATATGTGTCCTATATGTGTAAAAGTGTATGTCCTATAAGTGTATGTGTAAAATATATGAAATATATGACCCCAGGTTCCATAGACAACTTAATTACTTAGGGATTGATCGTTTCCTTTG